AAAATGAGGAAATTATATCTCAGCGCTCTTGTCCTTCCACACCACAACAAAATGGTGTTGTCGAAAGAAAGAATCATCATCTCCTTGATGTTATATGCACTCTTCTTATTGAATCCTCTGTTCCCCCTCGTTTTTGGTTTGAAGCACTTTCTACTACTGTTTATTTAATAAACTAATTACCTTCTCTTGTTGCTGCTCTACATAATGTTTCTCCTTTTTTTTTTTACGTTGTTTGAGCATTCTCCTTCATATTTTGATCTTTGTACTTTGTGGTTGTGTTTGTTTTGTGCATCTTCCTGCCCATGAATGTCACAAACTAACTAATCAATTTGTTAAGTGTGTTTTTCTAGGTTATGCTCTTACTAAAAAAGGGTATGTTTGTTATGATCCTCCGTCCCATCACATTAGAGTTTCCAAGAATGTGATTTCTTTGAGAATTAGTATGTCTTTACATCATATGTTGCATCATCATCTCCTTCTATATCTCTTATGCCACATTTTTCATATTCTTCACAAATTGTGAAATAGTTCAAGCCTGGTTTTGTATATGAAAGACGTTGTTACCATTCTCCCGGTATCCTTCGTGATTCTGCTCCAACACTTGATCTTGACACTGCTCCTATACTAGATTTGGTCACATCTGTTCTACCTCTTCGTCGATTCACTCGATCATCTAAACCCGCAGATTGGTATGGTTATTTTACACCTATCTCTTTATCAACTACCTTGTCTTCCACTTCTATTCCTTCTAGTTATACACAGGGTACAGAACATGAATGTTGAAAAAAGGCAATACAAGATGAACTATAGGCACTTCAAGAAAATCACACTAGGGACATTGTGAGTTGTCCTCCCACGATCAAACCTATTGAAAATAAATGGCTCTTCTCTATCAAGCTTAACTTTGATGGCTCTTTGGATCGCTACAAAGCTCAATTAGTAGCCCTTGGTAATAGACAGGAGTATGGGATTGATTATGAAGAGATATTTACTCTTGTTGCCAAGATGACTACAATTCGGACAATCCTTGCTATTGCAACTTCTCAATCTTGGCCACTACATCAAATGGACGTGAAGAATGGTGATTTCAAAGAAGAAATTTATATGAAACTTTCCTCTAGTATGACTTTTCCTTGTTCTACTAATGTGTGTAAACTACAACGTTCTTTGTATGGGCTTAAACAAACTCCTCAAGCTTGGTTTGAGAAGTTTCGTACTACACAACTTAAGTTCTCCTTCATATAGAGCCAATATGATTATTCTCTCTTCTATCACAAGTCTCCCATCGGTATAGTTATTATTTTGGTTTATGTGGATGATCTCATCATTGCCGGAACTAATTATGGGTTAATTACTAAGTTACAAGCTTAGCTACATGCAACATTTCGCATGAAGGATCTTGAACAACTCACAAATTTTTTAGGATTAGAGGTACATCATCGATTCAATGGCATTTTTCTAACCCAACAAAAGTACATTCAAGATTTGATAAATTTGGTGGGTTTAGATGGAACTACTTCAGTTCCATGGAAATAAAGGTCAAATACAAAAATGATGAAGGAGATATTTTGTCATATTCCACTCTCTATAACCTTATCTACCTAACGACAACTAGACCTCAAGTTAGTCAATTTATGTATTCTCCTCAGCATCTTCATTTCACGATTATTCGTCACATTATTCGTTATCTAATAGGATTATTTTTTCCCAAAGACTCATCTTTATAGCTCATAGCATACAACGATGTTGATTAGGCAAGATGTCTGGATACTCGTGAGTCTATTACAAGTTGGTGTATGTTTCTTGGTGATGCCTTAATTTTTTGGAAATGCAAGAAGCAAGATCATGTTTCTAAATCTTATACTGAGGTTGAATATCGTTCAATGTCGACCGTTTGTGCTAAAGTTATGTGGTTCAGTGGCAGATCTTCTTAGGAGCTCCCAAAGTTTTGTAACGCGCATATAAATTATGATTTTAAACCCCCTAAACTTAATGAACATTTAATATATTTACTTGTATATTTATAATTTTATCCTCTCAATTTTGTAACTCTCATATAATTTATGATTTTGTCCCCCTCAAACTTAATGAACATTCCATGAATGTACCAAGCATTTATCCTCTCAATTTTGTAACTCTCATATAATTTATGATTTTGTCCCCCTCAAACCTAATGAACATTCCATGAATGTACCAAGCATATTGAAGTAGATTGTCATTATATTTAGTAACTCTCATATAATTTATGATTTTGTCTTCGAACCCAAGATCTTAGAGTTAGAGGTCGATACTTCAACCACTAAGCTTACCAGAATTTTTTGATAATAATTTACAAATAAATTATATTTATATACAAATATATTTATATATTTATATATTTATATATTTATATATTTATATATTTATATATTTATATATTTATATATTTATATATTTATATATTTATATATTTATATATTTATATATTTATATATTTATATATTTATATATTTATATATTTATATATTTATATATTTATATATTTATATATTTATATATTTATATATTTATATATTTATATATTTATATTTTTATATTTTTATATATTTATATTTTTATATATTTATATATTTATATTTTATATATTTTTATAATTTTATATATATTTATATATATATATATATATTTATATATTTATATATAATTAAATATTTTTATATGTTTTTATATATTTTTATATATTTATATATAATTAAATATTTATTTTTTAAAATTATTTAATTTAAGAAATTATTATAAATTAATCTAATTATGATTAAATGAAATTATTAAATAAAAAATATTTAATTTTTTAATTAGTTGAATATTTACTAATTGATAATTTACTGACGGAAATATCCGTTGGTAATTTACAAATGAATTTACTTGACGGATATATCCGTCGGTAATTAATTATTAATTTATCGAGCAATTACTTGATCGGATATATCTGTCAATAAATTCATCCGTAAATTACCGACGGATATATCCGTCGGTAACTAATTATTATTTTACCGATGGAAATTCTACAAATATTTTATATCTGTCGGTAATTTTCGATCGGTAATAATTATTTTACTGACGGTTACAAATCTATCGGTAAATATCGTCGATGAATACACGATTTTTTTATAGTGAAATGTATTTTATTACTTGATAATTGTTAGAAATCTTGGTAATTACTTCCTTCATTGTATATCTCTTGAAATCTTCTATAATAATATAAAATATATGCTAGCAACTATTTAACATAAGAAGGCTAAAGAGATTGTATCATAATAATTGTTCTCTTATGTCTTGATAGTTGACATAGAGATTCAAGAAAAAACAAGTTTCCAGCAAAAAGGTATCTATAAATTCAACATTCTCCCTAAACATGCATCATACAAATACATACCTTCACAATTTCTCAAAAGTGTCACAAGACAATATTACACCCAAAATATCATCATTGTTTGAAAAAAAAATTAATGAAAATAGCTGACATAATTTAGATGTAATTTAATGTTCTCTATTTGACATTAAAAAAATTATACATAAAAATCTTTTTAATAATAGAGTATAAAATGCATAAATAAATGTTAAGATATAAGATTCAAATTAATAAATAATATATATATATATATATATATATATATATATATATATATATATAAACTAAGTGAGATGAGATATATTATTAAAGGATAAAATCAAGATAAATTAAAATCTAAAATATTTTGATGTGATAATTAATTATGTGAAAGAGAGTGACATGATGGTATTTTTATTTATTTTTTATTATTTATTAATTTTAAAATATACCATATTTTAGATAGAAAAAATTATTTTTTGGTAAAATTTAAGATCTATTAATTACTCTTTTATTAATTATATTCTTATATTTTAATTATATATATTATAGGGACAATATATAATATTATTAAAGAGTATTTTGATTGGATAATATTAAAATATAAAGATATTAATAAAAAATTTAATAAATTTATTAAAAATAATAAAAGTTAATGTTTATAATAATCTATCTAACATATTGAAACTGATGAAATATTATAATAGAAAAATCTAAAAATCTTATAACTTTTTTTATAAGAATGACAATTATTGCGAACTTGTGTATAGTAGTGGTCACATACAGCAAGAAATTTTCAACTATTCATAAATAATTGCGAAAGAGAAATATTGCAACGACTTTAAGTCTCCTACGTGTTGAAACTTTCCTGGATGGACTTGTAACAACTTCTCTATGTCTTCTTTTATGTGATAACTTTTATTAAGATATAACTTTTAATTTGTACCTTGAAACTTTCTATAATTGACTTGCTTTACCAAGTCTATCATGTGATGATTTTATTAAGATGTAATAATTATTTATTTGTATCTTACACATATTCATACTTATTTATATTTTAATCTCTACATTTTTAGGCTTTATATGAATATTTTGACTATTTTTACACTACTGATTTTAACTTTGTGATAAAAAATACTGCGATTATTTGACAACTAATGATTGATAGATATTAAAAAAAACTGTTTATGCAGACCAATATTTAAAGCTTCTAAATAATACAGATATTAAAATTTAAAAAGAAATTATGAAGAAACAAATCTTAAAAATTTAAATAGAGGAACTAAAACAAAACAAAGTATAAACTAAATACTTAAGTAGTTACTAGGACTCATTTTCACTTGTTCAGTGATTACTATTTCTTGGTTTATTTTTTTTCTCATCATAAGAAGGATCTCCAATTCCCAATTGGTTATTGACACGGCCAAAACAACTTCCGCTTCTTCTTTTTTTCACACAACCAATTACAAATTCTATGATAAAGCTATATGAGAGTAGATATAACACTATCTAGCAACATCTAATTCCCATCAAAATGAAGCATTTTTCTCTCACTTTTCAAGCATTTTGGTGCATATATGTCCACTTGATCTCTTTCTTTACACTGAACCCACTATGGCTTAACACAAACATGATTGTCTTTGGGTCAAGAAACCATACTGATCATTTGGCACTACTCAAATTCAAAGAATCCATATCCAGTGATCCATATGGAGTTTTACTATCTTGGAATACTTCTTCTCACTTTTGTAATTGGAATGGAATCACATGCAATTCCATGCATAAAAGAGTTACAAAGTTGGATTTGCAGGGGTACAAGTTGAAGGGATCCATATCTCCTCACCTAGGAAATCTCTCTTACATGAGAATCTTGCTCCTTGACAACAACTACCTGCATGGGAACATCCCACAACAATTGGGAAAATTGTCACAACTCCAGGAACTCTCTCTCGGAAACAACTCATTGGTAGGTAAACTTCCTACAAACTTGACAGGTTGCACTAATCTCAAAATCATATACTTATTTGGGAACAATCTGATTGGAAGAATACCTATTGAAATTAGCTCCCTTCGTAAGCTTCAAAATTTGAATGTTGGGAACAATAAGTTAACAGGAGGAATCCCATCGTTCCTAGGAAATCTTTCTGTCCTAGTTCGTCTCTCACTGGGTATTAATAACTTAGAGGGAGAAGTTCCACATGAATTGTGTCACCTAAAACACTTGTTAAGGATATTTGTACCTGTCAACAAACTGATTGGAGCTTTTCCTTCTTGTTTTTATAATATGTCATCGCTTATTGTAATCTCAGCTACAGAAAATCAATTTAATGGATCTCTTCCACCAAACATGTTCCACAACCTTCCCAATCTCCAACAATTTTATATTGCTCTAAATCAGGTCTCAGGTTCAATCCCACCTTCCATCACAAATGCATCTATCCTTCAATTACTTGAGATAGGTGCAAATCAATTCACTGGACAAGTTCCAGCTCTTGGGATGCTAAAAGATCTTTTTTACCTAGGTTTGTCTCTAAACAATCTTGGTGATAATTCAACTGATGATTTGAAGTTTTTTAAATCATTGACAAACTGTAGTAGTTTGCAAATGTTAGATATATCTTACAATAATTTTGGAGGTCAATTGCCAAATTCTTTGGCCAATTTGTCCACCCGACTCAACCAGCTGTATCTTGGACGTAATCAGATATCTGGAGAAATTCCTACAGCAATGGGAAATCTAATTGGCTTGACTCAATTGATGATGGGAGATAACCTCATTGGCGGGATTATTCCATCAAGTTTTGGAAAGTTTCAGAAAATGCAGGAGTTAGAGTTAAGAGCAAACCAACTTTCAGGACATATGGGAGATTTTGTTGGCAATCTTAGTCAATTGTTTTATTTGGACATGGGAAGAAATATGTTAGAAGGAAATATACCTTCCACTATAGGGAATTGCCAAAAGTTACAACATCTAAATCTTGCACAAAACAAATTTACCGGAACTGTACCTTTAGAGATCTTTAATCTTTCCTCTCTATCAAACTTGTTGACTTTGTCACAAAACTCATTGAGTGGCAATATACCAGAAGAAGTGGGAAAATTAAAAAATATTGATTTTCTAGATGTGTCTGAGAATAATCTTTCTGGTCACATTCCTGGAACTATTGGAGAATGCATAACATTGGAATACCTCTATTTGCAAGGAAATTCTTTGCAGGGAATCATACCATCCTCTTTGGCATCACTCAAAGGTCTTCAAAGTTTAGACCTGTCACGAAACAACTTATCTGGATCAATTCCAAATGATCTGCAGAATCTTTCTTTCTTGAATTATGTCAATGTATCTTTCAACATGTTGGATGGTGAGGTGCCAACTGAAGGTGTGTTTCAAAACGCAAGTGCCTTTGATGTTAGTGGAAATAGTAACGTTTGTGGAGATGTTTCCAAACTGCATCTACCTCCATGCCCTGTCAAAGGTAAGAAACTTGCAAAACACCACAAGTTCAGGTTGATTGCAGTGATAGTTAGTGTGGTTGGTTTTCTTCTCATATTGTCAATTATTTCAACTATCTACCGGATGAGAAAAAAGAATAAGAAATCATCTTTGGAATCACCAAAAATGGACCAGCTAGCTAAAGTTTCATATCAAAGCCTATATAATGGAACTGATGGATTCTCAGCAACAAATTTGATTGGCTCTGGAAATTTTAGCTCTGTCTATAAAGGAAATCTTGAATCAGAAGACAAAGTTGTTGCTATAAAGGTCCTAAACCTTCAACAAAAAGGAGCCCACAAGAGTTTCATAGTTGAATGCAACGCACTTAAAAGTATTAGACATCGAAATCTGGTTCAGATTTTAACATGTTGTTCCAGCACAGATTACAAAGGTCAAGAATTTAAAGCTTTGATTTTTGAGTACATGAAGAACGGAAGCTTAGAACAATGGCTGCATCCAACGACGCTTGGTCCTGAACAACATCCGAGATCATTAAGCTTTGGGCAAAGACTAAATATCATCATTGATGTTGCTTCTGCAATACATTATCTTCATCATGAATGTGAGCAACCGATTATTCATGGTGATTTAAAGCCAAGCAATGTCCTTCTTGACGATGATATGATTGCTCACGTGTCTGATTTTGGCATAGCAAGATTTCTCTCAGCTATTAATGATACCACTTCTAAGGAAACGAGTACAATTGGGTTCAAGGGGACTATTGGCTATGCTCCCCCAGGTATGGTCAAAACTCTTGAATCAGTGTTTTGTTTAATTCCTCTATTTTGTTATGAAAACTTGATAATTCATTCACTAGTTACAAATTATTGACATTTTTTTTTTCTATATATTTTAGAGTATGGAATGGGTTCTGAGGTGTCTATGAATGGTGACATGTACAGTTTTGGGATCCTTTTGTTGGAAATGTTTACTGGAAGAAGACCCACTGATGAAATCTATGAAGATGGTCAAAATTTACATGACTTTGTGAAAAATGCAGTGTTTGATAATCTTTTACAAACTTTGGACCCATCACTTGAACTAGAACACAAAGTAGCAACAATAGAAAAAGAGAACGGTCAAAATCTTACTGCAGATGTGGAAAACTACTTAGTTTCACTCTTTAAGATTGGACTTGTTTGCTCAATGGAATCACCCAGAGAAAGAATGAATATTATGGAGGTCTCTAAAGAACTAAGCAAAATCAGAAAAGCATGGTAAGTTAAGTGGATAATGACTTAATTCTCTGTATATTAATAGAGAAAATTGTTGTCTTACTCTGCCAAATTTTAATAATAGTTCCGTTCATGTTAATATTCTTTTGTCATTTTTTTTAATTATTTCACATATATTAGTTTTCTTTTTCAAACTTAACAGCATACTAAAATTGAGATTTCTGGAATTTCAGGTCTTGACACAACTTCGCAGAAATTGATGTGTGTATGCAAGCAAGTGTGGTTGAAAATGTGCATGAACATTCTAAAGATAAAATTCCCTTTTCCTCTCGTCCTCACTTTTTTAATGTATCCATAATTTGTCTTTCTGTTTAACAGTAGCTTTAAACCACATAGCATGAGTGTACACATTTACTACTTCCACCATAAGGCCATGTGAATTCAGGATTACGTTTTCATATTAGCAAATCTTTCATTCTACTTCAAATTTTGTTGATCTTGCTCACGGTGGTTTTCATTGGTATTAAAAAGAAGGTTTAATAATTTCCTTCTTATAATTACAACAAATATTTTTCTCTCTGTACTTGAAAACGGATCGATCTAATCTTTGCATGTACAATTTTAAAATCATTTAATTCTAAATTATATTATTTTTAAACTTTTCATTGAAGTAAAATATTAGTTAAAATCAAGATAGTAAAAGAGAAAACCCTACTAATTATAAAGGTTAAATGGGTAATTAAACCTTTAAAATTGGGAAAGTAAAATATTAAAACTACTTTTGCACATGTTCACTCTCTAACACTCTTCATGAATTTTGGTCTTCATGCTTAGTGAATTTTCAAAATTTGATGTTGCAAACTCTTCACCCTTGCTTTTGCATCATGTCCTTTATAGATGTCATCTTTGTAAGTAATCCTTCTTCTTTTTGAAATACATAATCCAGCGGTTAACTAATAAGCAATAAATGAGTTAGTTAAATTAGTTAATTGATAACATGTCATTTAACTCTCTTTTTTCCATATAAGCAATAGCTTCAAAAGAGTTTTTCAACTTATTAAGATGCAAGTCCACTCATACAATATTTCATCTAATGAAGTTAGGAGACCACCTTATGGTTACCAAACTAGACTAATACATATCATAACTCAAGTTAACATGTATTTTGAAACACTCATAAGAATACCCTATAATCATCAAATTCAACTAATGTTTATACAATCTACTAGCTATTAATTCAACTAGGTTAGCTTATTTAATGCCTACTCAAAGTTGTTTCACACTATTTGAATTTAACAAAATAAAAAAACTTCAATGATGTTATTCATGCATCACTTAAGAAGATTAAAGTAGGAAAACTAAAAAATATTCTTGGTGAACTCTAATCCAACTTGTTATCCTATGTATAAAAGTTATCACACACTTTATAAAATGTAAGAGATAAGTAAGAAGTTCTACCAAGTAAAGTTAGTTTCAATCTTACGTCTCATAATAACTCTTTTGTACATAAAATAGAAATGTTGACATGTAGAAACAAAAAGAAAAAAAAAAAACGAGAACAAAACTATCTAAGTGAAAAAACTCTTTACAAAATATAATATTTTATTCTTAAAAGTTAAGAAAGAACTTTTATTTATAAATCTTTTACTTTGTAAAGTTTATTCCCTTATATACACAAAATATTTCATATATTTACGTAAAAGTTGATTATCTATAATCTTAATCAAACTTAGATTTATAACAATTGAAAAGATATCATATACTCAAAGAGTTAGAGATAACTCAATGAAAAAAATAATATTTTAGTGTTAAAAGTATTCTTATATACTTATCGTGTCATGTGAGATATATATAATATAACATCTTTTTCATATTAAATTTTGATAGGATAACATGTGAGATAAAAATATTTTTTTTATATAGGGATAAAAGAAGAAAAAATTTTATTTATTTTTTATTCTTTTTATTCTTACCATTATTATACACGTATTTACCTTATTGGTGGAAACACGTTGATTAAATGATTATGGTGAATGATTGGAGAAATACAAAAAGTAATCATTATTGGTTCGTCTAAAATGATGAGAGTTTTCATGTCAAATACAAATGTCAAGATTGATAATCTCGTCCCTCTAAAAGTAACTCGAATTATCAATAATGTTTGAATTTCAAGTAGTATGTGGAAAGAAGATGGTGATGTTTAAAAAAAAAAAAGATTTTTGAATGTTTGACCCCTCTATTTACTTAAGTGAGAAAAATTATCAATTAAAATAATAGAATCTTATATTGTTATATAAAATCTACTTCTCAATTTCATCACCATACTCCATTTATTTTATATTATAAAAATTTATATTAAATTTATAATAATTAATAAGGATAAATAAGCCTAATTTTAATCACTCTCTAAATGATATTAATTGATTTCAATCCTGAAGGTTCAACATCTATCTACAATATAATCAAATCTTCATAAATAAATATTATTATTTAAAAATAATTAAATAATATAGATATAAATTAATAAATAAGAATCAATGCTGAAAATAAAAAATATAAAATTAATATATGATTGTAGATAAATAAAATATGACTAATATATAACTAAAGATAAATAAAATAAATATAAAACAAAATCAATATATAACTAGAAATAAATAAACATTAAAAATAAAATTATTGCATTATTGAAAATAAAATAAATAAATATAATAAGATCAATGTATAACTAAAAAATATATATAATAAAACTAGTATATAATTAAAAAAATAAATATATAATAGAACTAGTGCTTAATTAAAAATAAATAAAATAAAATAAAATAAATAATATTAAAAATATCTTCTTTCACAACCATTAAAAATAAAATAGAAAAAATAATAAAAATCAACTCACCCTACCTTAACAATCGCAACCAAAATTTTACAAAAATCACTTATATATTTTCATCTTTTTTTCTTTTTTTCTCTTTCTTTTTTTTTTCTTTATTTCACCCTTCATCGTTTTTTACCATCATCCTCATTTATATTCACATTTTTCATTTTTTTTTACTTCATTAAATGCACCTTATCTTTCTTATGTTTTTCTCTTTTTTACAATGTTTATCTCTTCTACTACCTTTTTTTATATTATATATATATATATATTATTAATTTTTTTAATAAATATATATTTTAAAATTATTATTATTATTATTATTTATTATAATTTTTTAATAAATAATAATTTACATTTAATAGATAGTTTTAATAATAATTTAATAATATATATATTAATAAATAGGTTTTTTATTAAACTATTTAAATTATTCAAAAATATTATAATTTAATATATTATATTTAAAAATTTTCACGTTACATCATGAATGATGTTTTGTACGATCTTTTGTACTTGTTATATCAAAAGTGGAATCCTCGAATAAGTAAGTTAAAAAAAATAATAATAAATTTATCAGAGTGGAATTCTAAACTATATTATTTGTGAGGAGAATTAGATGTAATTTAAGTTCAGGTGGAACAATATAAAAATCAAATATTTCTATATGTTCTCATTCTTGCCAGTTTATTCAAATAATATTCTAATACTGTTTTTTAAATAGTTTTATTGGTTGAAAAAAATTACAACATCAGACAATACCTCTAATTCTCTAATAATCCATTGAAAAAATATTTTAACTTTATTCAAATCCTCTTTTCAATAACTAATATGTAATTTCAATTTTATTTTGTATTCTTAAACCTCTGATAAACTTTCATCTATTAGAGAACATAATATTTTGTGATACTTTAATTATTAAAAATTTAATAAATAATTATAAAATAAAACACAAAATTTGTAATAGTTTCAAACATAATAAATGAAAAGAGAATGAAAATATAATGTAACAATTTTTAATTGCTAGTATTTTTTCTCTCTTAAAATAAGTTTCATATTTAAAAAATATTTGTCATAAATTATTTTTAAAATATAAAAATATATTTATTAATTTAATTTTTAATTTTATTTGATTAATCATTCAAATATTATTTGTAATTAATTAAAATGAATATCAGTTTATATTTGTATTTTATTTTTCAACCTACCTTTTTTTCATTTATTTTTGTTTTATATTTCTAAATTAAATTTTAATATTTGAAAAATCATTACTTAAAAATAACTTTAAATTCCATTAATGTGAAATATAATTCATATGATAATAAATTTATTTATTTTAGTTTTGGTCATTATACTAAACAAATTTGATTAATTAACCATTTAACTTCTAAAAATAGGTAATGTAATTCTTTTTATACTTAAAAATAATATTTAGCGATGATTTTATTAACTTAAAACCATTATAAAATAATTAAATATAATTTTAATCTTTCTGTAACATTTAAGTGTAATATTGAATAATATTCTACTAATATTAAATTGATAAAAAAAACTAAAACCGAACATTTTAAAAAATTTAAAAATAATTAATCAAGTTTTAAATATATGAATTAAAAAGAAATATTTAATCCAAAGTTTATATATTCCAGAAGTTATACTTAACAAAAGAAATTCCCGAAGGGGACATTACAAGATCTTAAAAAACAGGACTCATAACCTTTTTTGGGTTTACAAAACCCATTCAACAAAAAACAGTTACAAAAGTTGAACAAAAATCTAACCAGCCACAACACGTAAAAGACAGTGCGCGTACAGTACACGACTCTTACAGCGCCATTCTCGACTCCAAACAAACCCGACCCTCCCTTCTCTCTCCATCTCTACTATTTAACTGTCTCTGCCACTCCCTTTATATAAACGCCGGCCACTGTTCTTCCAAAGCTTAAAAAACTTAGGGTTGGTGGTTGCCACGCCTTGCGCCACCGCAGTAAATCTTGGCATCATGGCCTCCGGCGCCGCGGCAGACGGGCTCTTCCGACCGATCTACGAGGGCTGCATCACCGCCTACAACAACGACGTCGAGCGCCGCCCTTACCATCGCAACTGCGGCTGTGCGCTCCACAGCAAGTCGCGCCGCGGCAGAGCGTGCTCGCACAGGATGCCGCGCTGCAACAGCGTCTCCTATCCCATGAGGCGGGCCTGGAGCGAAGGGAGCTTGGTCATGGCCACCTCGGCGCACTCCTCTCCCTCTTCCTCCCCCGCCGGACCCAGGCCTCAACACGACGACGAGGGACATAGTCACAAATTAGAGGTTTTATTTGAGATGTAATGTAACCGATAACCACCCTCGTTTTGATAGAACTCTTGTTTTCTTTTGTTTCCTCTTCTTAGTTTTGAATAATTTCGGTCCGGTTCGGTCGAGGTCTTGCTTACATTTTTTGTAGCAATGTGGAATTTGATTCGATAAAGGTTTACATGCGTTTGTATTGATTTATTAGCCATTTCGATTTCAGAGATTTCTGATCAATTTGGTTGGTTCTGAATCCATGGCCAAGGTTCTTGTAACGAAGCTAATTCTTTGTTATTATATATTAATCTTTTAGTATATGTATATAAATTGGTTTTGTACTTCTTTCCATTACATGGGGATTCGTGTATGTGTACATCTGGATTTTGCAGTTCAGAATTTGCGCGATATGAATCTGATTTGGGAATGTGGGAGCTGGAAACACAGGAGTCACAGCTAATTCATTTCTCTTTCCAGAACTTCAGGAAGCTTTTTTATGAAAAAGACTAAAAGCAGCAACTTTTTTGTCTTCGATCGCTGTCCATGAACTGTGACAGAACCTTACCCACATGGGACGGTCGTTGATATTATAATATTAGTAAATTTCTCTATCCATCCGCAGAGACATTGATGGAGACTATGATGTAGTACTTTAGTCAAATATTTAGAAACTGTTGTTATATTCAATGAATTTCAAATATTTATTATTCAATCTGTAGCAATACAGCTTCTTTTTCAGTTCATATTTCTTCTTTTTTTCCTTCTTTCAATTTGAGTTAACTTTTCTAAAAATATAACAACTTTATGATTTGGATTAATCATATTTGGATTCCTATATTCAACCTCTACTAATAATAATAGGAAAATTGATATACAGAGTCCTCTAGCTATAAGCTCTATTAGCTCTATATCATTTAAAACAAAAGGAAAATTGACTTAATACCCTAGTCTCAAGTTTCCCTAATTTCGAACTTTGTGAGTGTGACAATCCAAAAGTTTAAGGTATAGACAAATACAAGTTAATTCTTATAAGTAACTTTATCACTAATTAAATATATTTCATTAGTTGAACATCTCAAAATTTTTGGTTGGAACCAAAATAAACATTAACCAGTTTTTCATTCATAAGCAGTATTTTGGGTCATATATAATATTTTATTATAATTAATAAATGATAAAAAATATATGAAAAAGTAAAAAAAATGTAAAAAAAAATATAAAATAGTTTTTATTCAATATATTTAATGATTTGTTTTAATATTAATAAGAAAAAAATAAAAGACAAAAATTGTAAATATACACTTGTAAATTAAAAAAAATTTGGACGAGTCTCAAGAAACTGGGCCACTATTCAGAAGTTCATATGATGAGAATATTTAACTAACAAATTGATAAATATATAAAATATTAATTAGCCGAGTTTTGTATGATATAGTTAAAAAAAATTAAGGAAAAATGTAAATAAGTAAAGCTAATTAAATTTGTCTAACCTACCTAATCTCTTCCAAAAATCAACAACCTTTTAAGGGATCGAATTTGAAAGTTGTCCCTTTGCCAACATAATTGATGTGCACTAGCCCACGGGACTAGGGAGCACCAAGCCCTTCAAAAAAGCAAACTCCCTCTCCTCAGACATTCCCTTCTCCCCATTTTGTCTCTTTCTCTCCTCTTGGAGTCGATTTTATGAGCTTGGAAGGAGGAATGTAGTTGCTGCCTCATCTTCAATAATGAGACTTCCTCCTTCACTTTCTCATTATTTATGGTGTGTTTGGATTTGAAGATTCATTTCAGGGTGTGAAAATGAAATGGACCTGAGAGTAAAAAGAGGTGAGAGTGGAATTGTTTCCATTAAAAAAAAAAGTTAATTAGAAATAAAAAGAAATAAGATAAAATTTTTGAAAATTTGTCAGTGTAGAATTGATTCAATTGATTAAAAAATATATTTTAATTAATAAAGTTGTAATAATTTTTTTTTCTTATTTGGATAAGAACATGAGTGAGGGCCGAACGTGTCTAACTCGTTGGCTCCTCCCACGAGTTTGCGTCGCTTCCTATGGCCCACGCGTTTATTATCAGGCTGGACCTCTTCGACACATGGTACCCGCACATAGCCGCGTCCTCCGCTGTCTCGTGGAGGAGAAGCGGAATTGGCGCATCCGCAGGGTCTCCTTCATCGCGCATTTCAGAAAGACGAGCTTTTCAAGGTTTGATTCCTCCACGCGCCGAAGGTCTTTTGGGCTTCTCATGAGCTCCGCCATTGCCCACTCGATTCCCCAATGCCACCGTTTTGATCCCACCGAACATCACGTCGTGCTTTAGAGACCCTGATTAAGACGACAAAAAAAACAGTAGCATGCACACACGAGAATGATTTAGAGAATCGATTCCCGTCGATACTCGCTAGGGTAGTGAAAGTGAACCAACAATTCGGTTGTTTTATTAGATAGAAATCACGTACCTTTATTAGATTTTAAAGAAAAAAGATAAACTCAAAATCTAACTATAAAATCAAATGATAAAACTTTTACTTATGGTAGTTTTCTCAACTAAATTTACAAAACATTAATCAGATAACAATAAAAAAAAACATATATACATTTTTTTTCTAATTTGTCTATAACAACTAGATCAAATTTTTAACTGAATAGGTTTAGTTTCACTATAAAATACATATATTTGTTCAAAGGTCACTTTTGACTTACAAAGTATTATTTTTACTCACTTCTCCAATTTACCACACACGTAATTATTTATTGAAGAATTTTTCCAAGCTTTAAAATAATCAAGTAGTCTTTTAACAATAAGTCACTTCTAATTTACCTAATAATGTTTAATTGGATAATATTTTACAATACCAACATTTCCTTACTTTGGTTTGATTTCTTTCCTGACAAATATAAACTATTTTTGCTCACTAAGACTAGATGAATCTATACATATATAGATATACTTTTACAAAATTTGAAAGAATAAAGCAATAAATTTTTTTTTTCTAAAAGAGAAATCTTGTTTTAATCAGCATAATACATATTTTTCCTATTTTGTTTCGTTTATTTATATTTGTCTCGAAACATAGTTTTGTCACATATATATCAAGTATTTTTATAAAATAATAATTAATTTGTCCTTTTCTCTGTCTTGTTTTTAGGGTTCATAATTATTTGGACATATTAAAGAAGCTTTTAATTCCGACTTAAATATTTTGTTTATGATTTGTAATAAGTATTAAATGTTTTATATTTTTCTTTAAGAGTTTATGTTCAGTTTTAGACAAAGAGTTTTTCCACCTTTTCTCTTAAATGTCTTTTGTCACTATAAGTAGGGGTTAGTGAACCTAAAATAATAGATTTTTCAAAGTCTTTGTATATCTTTTTTTTTTAAGTGTTTCTTTTGATACTTTCCCTTGAGATATGCTTTTTAAAATTCAAACGTTGAAGGTCAAATTCTTTATTAATAATCTCTTTCTTTTGAGAAACATTATTTGTATAAAAGAACATTTATGTTCTTCATATAAATACTAAAGCAAATGATTTGATAGATCATGCAATAGACCATGACTATGATAAATTTGAACATTTATAAAATACAAAATAAAGCAAAATCAAAATCCATATAAGAAACTGTTAAATAATATATATATTTTGTTTCATGTAAGATGATGAATTATCAATATGAAACATATTATGTTTTCTCTTAAAATTGTGTGTTTGCATTTAATCAAAATCTTAAGCATAAGATTGAGATTATCCAAAATTTGATCTAACATTAGTTTTTTTTTTATCAAATAACTATTTGTTATTATCTTTTTTTATATATAATTTGACATGTTAGGATGAAAAATTATATAAGTATATGATATAAATAAAAAGACAAGAACACAAAAATTTAATAAATTTTATACTTTCTCGTTCTATTTAAGATTTTTCACACTAAAATGATTATTTGACATGCCAAACTCAAACCATCTAAAAAAATCTCTTAAGTTAATGTCCTACTTTCTTGGGCCCTCATAATAACTAAGTTTTTTTTTCCTCCTTGTTAACATGAAAAAGAATTTTCTAAACTTATTCATCTAACAAATTGGTGTAATCCAGCATTAATGTTTTATAGGATTTTCCGAAAAAAAGGAGAAACTTCTAATGAAAAAAAGACCTTGTTGAAGTAAGAGGGAGACACACTTTTATAACAAGAAAAAAGAGTGTTAATACGAGGTTTTAAAGAGATACTATCCCTTCTTATTATATCCATTAAATGGAATAGTCAACCAAAGAGGGAGAAAAAGATGAATCTTGCATGAGATAAACCAAGGAACCTTATGCTCTTTATTTTTATTATATATCTAATATAGTCTGTATTATAGTGGATCCATATTTTCTCATGAATAGTAAGTATCTATTTACTATCTTGTCTAAACAATTTTATGTCTTTCCACCTCTTATATATGCTTAAAAAAAGACGTATATGATATTTGTGGATTCACACAAATATTTTTTAAATTTAAATTTAAATAAAATTATTTTTAAGATATAAATTTATAAAAATATTCATCTTAAAGTATAATCCAAGTAAAATTACATCATACAATACTAATAAAAATCTTTCTAAAAATATAAGCTTTATTTAAATTAATAAAATTTTAAATAATTTTTTTAATTATTATATATTTTTTCATCAAACTTTATTTTAATCATTTAATAAAAAAAAACATAAAAAATATTAATGGTTAGCGTATAAATACCATAATATATACTAAGAGCAACTCTAATGGAAGTTGTTTATGACCTCAGTTGCTTATAAGCAATGGTACATATAAGAAATTGTTGTTGGAACAATTTGATTTGGTAGCAATAATTTTAAAAATTTAAAACAGCATTTTATAAAAGTAATGTTTTTAAGAGTTTTTTTTTCCAATTTTTTTTAGTTTTTCAATTTGTTCCGTGATTCTAATATATTTCTGTTTATTTTTATTATCAATGTTGGTTAATATTTTATATTTTAATTAATGTTAATCGTATTTTTAATATTAATTTTATTTTTAATTTAAATATATTATTTATTTTATTTTAATAATTAATTATATATTATAATTATTATTAACATAACATAGTAAATTTTGTTAAAATAAAAAATAATAGTTAAATAATGAATTGTTTATAAAAACATATCATTAAAATGAATTTAAAAAAATTAAAAATAATTATTTAAATATTGAATCTAGTAAAATAAAAATGAATTTATAAAAATTAAAAAAAATTATTTAAATATTGAATCTATTAAAATAAAAAATAATATTTAAATAATGAATTGTTTATAAAAATATATTATTAGAGTAAATTTATAAAAATTAAAAAAAATTAAATATGATGTGAGGATGAATCCTAGAATCAAAGGTTGGATCCACCTCACAACCCAAGGGATTCTTATAAAAACCCAAGATTGGAAGATGCTTTAATACTAATCAAAAATGCCACTTTTATTTCATGAAATATTTTACTCACTAACCCAATTTTTAACATCCGTGGTCAACTCTCAAGCCTTTTTTTCCAACTTCGCAAGTGAAAGAGAAAGAAAAATGGCAGTGGCAAACAGTTTGCCCTGCATTGCTGTCATTATCTCCTTAACATGGATGGTTGAAGCTCGAATTCCAGAGATTTACTCTTGTGCATGGCAAAGTGCTTACTCTACATTCTCCGGAGAATCGATGCTTCCTGCACCGTGGGTTAGTAACTAATTCAACAAAACAACCATCAGGGACACATAAAAGGGTACATCACCTGAAACAAGAAACAGACAAGAAGGGGTATTTTATGCTATGTGGTTTGTGAGGCTGCTTCCCACTTTTTTCTTTACTCTTCACTGAGGTTCCAAAAGCATGTAGACTCTTCCATTCATGCTCTCATTTTTCATCTAATTATTCAAAACAAACAATCATAAACCACCTTTGTATGTGGAAGAAGATAGCCATCCTTCAATAGTTCGTTCTATTGTCATTTGAGGTAAACCCCTTTTCCTTCTTGCTCTTACTCGTTACCCTGTCCCTCTGTAAACCCACCATTTCTTTCCCTCTCTGTTTCTGATTTTCAGTATAAAGCTTGTACCTTTGGAATTATTAGATGGTTCTGGATATGGAGAAGAGTATATACACTTTTCTCACCGTGCACCGTTGGGAGTCACTGAACTGTATGAAATATAGGTTGTCTTCCCTTAGGCCTGTCCATGGAAGGTTGGCTCTGAAATTTCTCAATTGGCTCATAAAGCAACCCAATTTGGAGCTCAAACACGTTACTCATATTATCTGCACTACTACCCACATACTTGTTAGAGCTAGAATGTACAACTTTGCCAAAACAACCTTAAAGCATATGTTACAACTGCCTATTGGTTTAAACTCTGTTTTTGGTGCTTTGATGGAGACATACACCGTTTGCAACTCAAACCCAGCTGTTTTTGACCTCCTGATTAGGGTTTGTTTGAGAGACAAGATGGTTGGAGATGCTGTGCAGACATTCTACTTGATGGGGTTACGAGGACTGATGCCATCTGTATGTACTTGTAACATGGTGTTAGGTTCCCTTGTGAGGGAGCAGAAAGTTGACATGTTTTGGTCCTTTTTCAAACGGATGCTTACCAAAGGGATTTGTCCTAATGTTGCTACATTCAACATATTGTTGAATGCTTTGTGCGAACGGGGTAAGTTTAAAAATGCTGGCTTTCTCTTGAGGAAAATGGAAGAAAGTGGTGTTTATCCAACTGCAGTCACTTACAATACTTTGCTTAACTGGTATTGCAAGAAAGGAAGGTACAAAAAAGCATCTGAGCTGATTGACTCCATGACATCTAAGGGTGTTAAAGCAGATGTTTGTACATATAATGTTTTGATAGATAATTTGTGCAGGGAAAATAGAAGTGCAAAAGGTTATTTATTGTTGAAAAGGATGAGAAGGAATATGGTGTATCCTAATGAGATAACTTATAATACTCTTATTAATGGATTTGTGAAAGAGGGGAAAATTGGACTTGCTGCAAAAGTTTTTGATGAGATGTCATCATTTAATTTATTACCCAACATTATCACTTACAATACTTTAATTGCTGGGCACTGTAGGATGGGCAACTATGGGGAGGCATTGAGATTGATGGATTGTATGGTATCGTGTGGTTTAAGACCTAATGAAGTTACATATGGGGCTCTTTTGAATGGGCTATCCAAGCATGATGAATTTGGTTCGGTATCTAGTGTTCTTGAGAGAATGAGGATGGATGGGGTGGGAGTTGGTCACATTAGTTATACAGCAATGATTGATGGATTGTGTAAAAATGGCATGCTTGAAGAAGCTGTGCAATTGCTGGATGATATGTTAAAAGTTTCTGTCAGTCCTGATGTTGTTACATATTCAGTGCTCATAAATGGATTTTTTAGGGTGGGGAAGATTAATAATGCCAAGGAAATTATGTGTAAGATGTATAAGACTGGACTTGTGCCAAATAGCATTTTATGTTCAACATTAATCTACAATTATTGCAAAATGGGATACTTAGAAGAAGCATTACATGCTTATGCAATTATGAATCTTAGTGGTTATGCTGCTGATCACTTTACATGTAATGTGTTGGTTGCCACTTTCTGTAGATGTGGAAGACTCGAAGAGGCTGAGTATTTTATGGATCACATGAACAGAATGGGTCTTGATCCTAACTCCGTTACTTTTGATTGTGTTATAAATAGTTATGGAAATTCTGGTGATGCATTAAAAGCATTTTCCATGTTTGATAAAATGAAATTGTTAGGCCATTTGCCAAGTCAATTCACGTATGGGGGTCTATTGAAAGGACTTTGCATCAGTGGACATATTAATGAAGCCTGGAAGCTTTTCCGTAGACTTTGTTCCATTCCTAATGCTGTCGATAATGTTATCTTCAACACAATGCTTACTTCTACATGTAGATCTGGAAATCTATCTGATGCAATTGCCCTTATTAATGACATGGTTACAAAAGATTTTCTGCCCGACAATTTTACATACACAAATCTTATTACGGGGCTATGCAAGAAGGGTAAAGTAGTTGATGCACTTCTTTTGTCAGGGAAGGCAATTGAAAAAAAACTATTATCTCCAAATCCTGCTGTGTACACCACCTTAGTCTGTGGTCTTCTTAAGCATGGACATTCAAGAGCAGCTTTGTATATTTTTGAAGAAATGCTAAGCAAAGGTGTGGAGTTTGATACCATAGCATTCAACGTAATTTTAGATCAATACTCAAGGAAAGGGAAAATGTCGGAGGTCAATGATATTGTTTCAACAATGAAGAGTAGAAATTTATGCTTCAATATGGCTACTTACAACATCCTACTACATGGATATGCAATGAGGAATGCAATGGCAAGATGTTTTATATTGTACAAAGACATGATCAGAAACGGTTTTCTACCAGATAAGTTTTCATGGAACTCTCTTATTCTTGGGTATTGCAAGTCCAAATCATTTGATGTTGCTATTAAAATTTTAAGATGGATAACACTGCAAGGATTTGAAACTGATTGTTCTACATTTAACGTTCTTTTTTCCAAGTTCTGTGAAAGGAATGAGATGAAAAAGGCCTTTGATCTGTTAAAACAAATGAATCAGTTTTCAGTTACTCCTAATGTAGATACATACAATGCCCTTTTTAATGGACTCATTAGAACTAGTGATTTTGATAAAGCCCACCGTCTTTTGCAAGCCTTGTTGGAAAGTGGTTCTGTTCCTACGAGTAAACAATATATTACTTTGATCAATGGCATGTGTAGAGTTGGGAACATAAAAGGAGCATTGAAACTTCAAGATGAAATGAAAGCACTTGGTGTCTGCCCCCACAATGTTGCTATGAGTGCTACTGTTAGAGGGCTTGCACATTCAAGGAAGATAGAAAATGCTATTTGGGTTTTTGATTTGATGCTTGAGATGCAAATCATTCCAACTGTTGCTACCTTCACTACATTAATGCACGTATATTGCAAAAAAGCTAAAGTTGCAAAAGCTTTAGAATTGAGGAGCACAATGGAACGTTGTCATTTGAAGCTTGATGTTGTTGCGTATAGTGTTCTAATATCTGGCCTTTGTGCTAATGGAGATATTGAAGCAGCTTTTAAACTTTATGAAGAGATGAAACAAAGAGACCTTTGGCCTAATACCTCTATATACATAGTTCTTCTTGATTCTCTCTGTGCTGGAAATTATCATACCGAAAGTGAAAAACTTTTGAGGGACATACAGGCCAGGGAAATGGTTTCTTTTAATTCATATGGAGGCACGAAAAGATTGAATGAGTTATTGATTATTGCTAGGAAAAAGTTAATTAACTTGAGGTTCAAAATGAAAAGTAAGTCACGAAAAGATTGAATGAGTTATTGATTATTGCTAGGAAAAAGTTAATTAACTTGAGGTTCAAAATGAGAAGTAAGTTTGGTTGATTGCATTATGCTTCTTCTCTGTCCAGAATGCGAGTTGGCTGTTGAGGCTGAGCCAACAGTTCTGTTACACATCCAGATATGATATTACTGTACGGTTTGTATTACATTCCTCAGTATCATTCTTTTGGTTTCTTGAACACTTGATTTTTATCTTATAGTATACTTCATCCTTTCTGAACTCTTTTTTTTGTTACTATGCTTCAGTTTGTACTTCGTATGAACTAAATACCTCTTCTCAGGATAAGGTTGTTAATAGTGTTAAGAAAATACATTCACTAGGCTTTTAGCATTGCTAGGCTTCTTTAGTTTCCCTTTTGAACTAATTATTGTAGCATAACAAGTATACTATAAGATCTTGAAAATTGCACTTTTTATTCAACAAAGAAGCTATTTGCAGTGAAATAATCAGTGAATTTAAATATCATCAGTATCTATCAATTCTTGTGTAATTTATATTGGCTGATATCCAAATCCGAAAATTTTGCAGGTCTGTACTTTTACTAGTGTTGCGGGGTGCATCAATTATTCCAAGACGGAGATAGGGTAAATCAAGTCACAATCAAATCATAACGTTTGAATTGTTCCTTAAGTAGAAAGAGTTGCACCTTGATAATCCGTTACAACTTTAAGCTTAGTGATAGATGTTCGATCCAATAATTGGTATCAGAGTCAATCATGAGTTTGATTCCTAACAGAGCAATTATTGAGCTGCAGATTGTTGTAAGGTGCATCAGTCATGAGTTTGATTCCTAACAGAGCAATTATTGAGCGGCAGATTGTTGTAAGATGCATCAATCTAGTGGTAAGCACTTGATCCAATTGGGTCAGTTCAATTTGCCAAGATTTGTTCCCTCAGTTAAAAACCTTTGAGAGACACCTGCACTGGAAATCCTTGTATGCACTGGGATTTTGTTCAGAGTTTCAGTTAATGCTGGATGATACTTTACTTTTTGGGTCTCGTGTATATATCAAAATCTTAAGGTAACTAACTATTCATCATCTATATCTTTGTGCATATTTTTCAGTGCCCCGGGATTTTGTTCAGAGTTTCAGTTTACACTGGATTATGTTTTTTATATTTAATGCTAGATACTGTTCTAGAATTCAATGGCCATGGTGTTGGATGTGAAGTTCAACTGATAAATGGACCATTCCATTATTACTATTATGCATTTTTCATGTGTCATTGAAGTCACTAAGGGTGTGCTTATTGCGAGTTGCTGTATTTGGGTATAAAATTAGGCATCAAAATACCTTTACAATTGTTAGTTGATTATAAATTCTCCATTAGCTATCCTGATAGAGTCCCTAGTTTGAACATGAAGGAAATGATTTAATATCAGACAATTTGGAAAGAACCCACAATTTGGAATTTGAAGGATCATAAGTTAGTGGGAAGTGTTGTATGTGTGCATGAAAGAGGGGTATGAGGTTTATTCTGGTTGTTAGGCCTTTTGGCTAGGCAGAGAAAGTATTCTGGAAGGAGCCTTTACAATAAGAGAGGGTAGTATCCACTCATTGAGTTTGTTTATGGATTCAATAAAGCTCTCATTTCTTTCTAATTTATGGTTTCCTAACATAACCATAACGACAGGATGTTATTTGAATTATGTGCTACTTTTTAACATGAAATGAACGTTTTCTTTTACTACAATATTTTATTGTTGTGTGCATGTAGTTTTCAAACCATGATCTAACAGTGTAATCATTTTATCCTGATTTTTTTGTCGATACATCATGGGTACCAAAATCTTAACAAGAGAAATACTGAATATTCACTGTATCATAAATGAATTTAGACCTGTACCAAAGTGATACGAAACATGATCATCAGTATGTTTTGGTACTTGAGCATTTCCATGAAACTTCAAGTTTTGGATGCTTTAGAATTTTCATATTATTTCTTTTCCGACAAATATATTTGCATCGATGTGCTTTACAGCCAACATGGAAATTTCCAGGGAAAACTTTTACGTTTAAAACAAGTGCCTCAGAGACTATTTGTATGTCTGGTTTCCTTTATTTTTTTGGGTAACCATGCTATTGCTAGGGAGTATCCACTGGCTTTGTTGATGACTAATATTTTCATCGGTTAACTTGGCTTACCTTTAGTGAAATGTCTTCTTCCAACCACGTTTTTTCCATTCACAATATTCGAATTCAAGATTTTGTTTGAGGGAACTGAGTCCAGTACCACTCGACCAACATGTTGGTTGTCTGGTTTTCTATTAATTGTTCATTCATGTGAAATAAACCCAAATCACACGAGCCCTTATTATGTATGCGCTCTTCTAATCTCATTTTTCCCTTCTTCAACTGTATATTGTTCAAGCATTGGTTCATAATACTCTACTGCATTGTTAACTAACCAACATACTCTTATGTATATCTTGCAGATTGTTGATTTGAAGTTAGAGCCGATTCAAGAATTACTGTTGATTTGAAGAACCCTGATTGGCCTATCCGTGAATAAGAACTGGAATATGATATGCATTTTCACAAGTGCCAGGAGTTTACGGCAAAACTCCATTTCTTCGAGACGCTGCATTAGCCAATAGGTACTGTCGAAATCTCTTGTTCCTTAAATTGCAAGTTAGTAAATGTCCATTAGTTTTCTTGCTGCCCTATGACTTATCTATGGCTTCCTGCTTCGCAATTTCGAAGCTAATGGTTCTCTTATTATACTATCTCTATTGGCATTGTAATTGTGGAAGTGGAAATAGGCATTACGAAAGAAGAAAACTATTTAATTTCACACAATGTCCATTTGAATAAAAAATGCTGCACAAAATTAGTGTGAAACGTGTCTTTACTTAATTTTGGTCGGTATGGAAGTCACCTAAAAAAGTGATGTCAATACGAGAACAATTATGTCTTCACATTCATGTTGCATCTTCCAACCTTTTCAATCTCATTTATAATATGTTATGTAATCAAGATGAAATACTGTTTATTATAAAAGAAAACAAAAACTAAAAATATTCTTGAGCAATAATAATTTCCAATTATCATTGCTACTATTTGAATAATTTGTTATTCTCCAAGTTAAAATGCACGTTGCAAGACAAATTACAATAAACAAACAGTAAAGCAAGTTTGGTTGAGCGTAAGCTCTCAAGGTTAGTTGTAGTCGTATTTTGTGAGGTAGCCTACGCAACATGGATCACATATAAAAAATAATTGGTGCAATGTTTGTTCTGCAGGAGAAATTCAGAAAATCCACTGCACTTGTTCTCCAAGGAGTATTTCCTAGTTAATATATTATGGTGTATTTATGTTTAGTATCTATGCATCTTTTTTTATTAATTTGTGACGGTGAATTTGTTCTTAACAAGTTACTGCACATTCTTAGGTGAAGCATTCAAAAGTGTTTGCGTACTCCATGTTACCCCATGATGTTGTTTCAAAACATCAGGACTTGATGACTACCGATAGTGAGGATATGTCAAGAATGTAGCATTGAGTAGTAAGAAATGAAAGGATTATACCCTTCTGCATATTCATTGAAAGAGCATGAAAACACTAATCATGCTAAACGGAAAAATAAGAATTTCGTTACAAAATTAAAGCGACTCTGCCAATACCATACCATTGTTTGACTTCACTGCTCTATGTATATACAATACCAATGTTTCAATTCACTGTTGTATATATATACCATCGCTCACTTACAATGAAATTTAAGTCATCCAATAATGCGTTGGAAATTATGTGGTGCAATGATCTGGATACTAAAACGGGTCAGTCCGTCCTATTTTAGCCTGCCAAAAGTGGGACGGGGCCGGCTAGCCTGTGATAGTCATGACAAGTTACATGTCTCCCGTCAAAGGACAGGTTGGTAGGCTGGTCCGTTATATTTTTTATTTTATTTTATTTTATTATTTTTAAATCAAATTTTTCAATAAACTTAATAATAAAATTATCATTGTCAACAATTCGATATATTTATATATATTTCAAGTTAATAAATAAATTAATATATTATTTTAATAAATTATATTTTAGAATAATTAAATTAAGATTAAATTTATTTAATAATAAATACATGTATGTAACAAGTAAAAGTTTATTAAATTTTTATTTTTTATATTAAAAAGTTTCAACATTTAAATAAAAATTACATTATATTTATTTATTTGATAAAATTTCATATTGTTCTTTTATTGAGTAATTTTCATATCTTCAATTCAAAATAATCAATGTCCAGGATCATTAGATGCAGTGTTTGAAGATCTCTTCAGCTTTTTCATCTTTGTTATTTTCTTCCTCACTTTTGATAACACACAAAATTGAAGAAAGAAAAAATTAGTAAAAAAAGGATTATAAAAAATAAAAAAAAATAATATTTGAATTAAATGAATTACCTTCATAAAAGTCATGTTTCCAATTTGAAGTACAAATTATTACTTCTACATTCTCGGACAAAAGATGATTTTTGTACTTATTAAGAATCCTAGAACCAATATTGAATATAGATTTAGAAGCAATTATAGTAATAGTTATACTTAACAAATCTCTAGCCAATAATGAAATATCGGAAAAACGTTGACTATTATTTTTCCACCATTATAGAACATCCATATGTTCTATAAAATCAAAATCCAATGTTGGCTTATCCAAATATACATCAAGTTGGTTTCTTCCAATTCTAGATGTAGCTTGAAGCTTGTATTTTTTTAGTTCCTAATATAATAAATAAATAAAGAAGTTAAAAATATTAATTGAAAATTCATAAAAAATAATTGACTTAGAATAATTAACTTACATCAAAGAGGCTTGGTTTTCAAGATGAAATATCAACTTGTTTGTGCTTCGAACATTTGAAGTTGTACTTTTGCTACAATATTAAGAGAAAAGTATGTACAATTTTTTCTTTATTTTTTCAAACTTTACTTCACAAGTAGATCAATTCTTTCATAATAGAATCTTAATGTTCCAACTTCATCCTTGGGTCTAAAATTGCACCAAATGCAAGTACAACACTATATTCATCCCAATATTTATCAAATTTCATCCTTATTTTTTTAGTCATGTCCCTTACAACTTCATCTTCATCTTTTGCACTTTCAATTAGAAGGTACTGAATTTTCCAAACTCGTAAAAAATATATATTGAAAGTAGGATAACTTGTAGCTGAAATTAAAGTAGTTATATCATAAAATAGCAACAAGAAAACACTAATATTTTTTATTCTTTTTCATTCTTCTTCATAAGGATAATACTTATAATTTTCATCCATTAGTTGTAAGCTTCCAAAAACACGTTATTTAAGAGCACTTTGAAGCATTAGATAAGTTGAATTCCACCTTATAGGAACATCAAAGCACAACTCACTTGTAGAGATGGAAAAACGGATCGAGCCTGGCGGGATGGCGGGCGTGTTAGTACTTTCAGCCCATCGACCCGCTTTGGCCCACCCCACCAAGCCAACCAACCGGTCGGGTCAACCCGTGGGGCGGGCCAACCCGTGAACCACTTTATTAATAAATTTTTTTGGTGTGATATAATACAAAGAGTCGGGAAAGTAATATATAATATAAAAATTTATGAAAAGAGATTTCTAAAAGTCTCACTGTCTCATAAAGAAATTCATAAAGTCTTAGTATCTTACTATTAAGAGAATTCAAAAAGTTTTATAATTACTTAAACGAGAAACACTTTCCTTTCTCGGGCACAAACCCTTTTCTCTCTCTCCTCATCTCTTACTCATCATCTCGCTTCTTGCTTATCCTTCTTCATAAGGTAAAAATTATATATATTTCATACTTTTTTACTCTCTTTTATATTTGTTACTTTCTTAAGGTTTCTTTTTTTTCTTAGTATTTTTCTCTCTCACGACTCATTTATTATGTTTTTCTATTTTTGTTTTTGTTGAAATCTGAGTAAGAAAAAATTATGATTTTTTTTTAATTTTAAACAAGAAATTGATGATTCAATTAATAAGCCTACTTGTGGTCTTGATGATATCGTCAATAAAAATGAAATTGAGAATGAGGTTAAGTTCAACATATTGAAAATAAAAATGAATCTGAAAATGTTAAGTTGGACATCAAAAAGGATAAATCTCATACATCTGATTGTTGGAAGTTTTTTACTAGGATTGGTGTGTGTAAGGATGGAAAAGAAAGAGTTGTGTGTAATGGTTGTAACACAAAATACATAATTGGTGGAAAAAAATATGGAACTTCTCACTTAAAGCGTCATATTGAAAAATGTGACAAGATCAAAACTGAAGATGTGAGTTAAATGATTTTAGACATGCAAGGAAAGTTGAAGTAAAAAAAAAAAAGATTAGATGATGTCTCTTGAGTTGTGTGCTAATTTAATTATTCGACATGGTTTACCTTTTAAATTTGTTGAGTATCCAAAGCTTAGGACTTGGATAAATTATTTGAATTCTGATGCAATGTTAGTTTATAGGAATACTGCTAAAAGCGATGTATTGAGAATATTTATGAAAGAAAAGAATATAGTTAAAGAACAATTGGCTACCATTTGTAGTAGGATTTGTTTAACTTCTGATTTATGGACATCTTATACTACTGAAGGTTATATAAGTTTGACAGCTCATTATGTTGATTTAAATTGGAAGTTAAGTAGCAAGATTCTTAACTTTTGTCATTTACCTCCACCTCATATTGGATTTGAGTTGTCTAAGAAAATAAATGAATTTTTGCATGATTGGGGAATAGAGAAAAATATTTTTTTTCTATTACTTTGGATAATGCTTCTAGTAATGATGTTTTGCAAAAGACATTAAAAAGTCAACTTGTTTTGCAACATTGGTTGATATGTGATGGTGAATTCTTTCATGTGCGTTGTTGTGCACACATTTTAAATTTAATTGTTCAAGAAGGATTGAAAGTACTTGGTAATGCATTGGATCAAATCAGTGAGAGCATAAAATATGTTAAGGGTTCAAAGAGTAGAATGATTAAATTCAAACAATGCCTTCAAAATTTTGGTGACATTGATATTTCAAGTGAGTTGTGCTTAGTTGTTTCTACAAGGTGGAATTCAACTTATCTAATGCTTCAAAGTGCTCTTAAATACCAACGTGTTTTTGGAAGCTTACAACTAATGGATGAAAATTATAAGTATTATCCTTCTGAAGAAGAATGAAAAAGAGCAAAAAAGATTAGTGTTTTCTTGTTGCCATTTTATGATATAACTACTTTAATTTCAGCTACAAGTTATCCTACTTCCAATATGTATTTTTTACAAGTTTGAAAAATTCAATGCCTTCTAATGGAAAGAGCAAAAGATGAAGTTGTAAGGGACATGGCTGAAAAAATGAGGATGAAATTTGATAAATATTGGGATGAATATAGTGTTGTACTTGCATTTGGTGCAATTTTAGACCCAAGGATGAAGTTGGAAACATTAAGATTTTGTTATGAAAGAATTGATCCACTTACTTGTGAAGTAAAGTTGGAGAAAATAAAGAAAAAAATGTACATACTTTTCTCTCAATATTATAGCAAAAGTACAACTTCAAATGTTCTGAAGCATAAACAAGTTGATATTTCATCCTCAAAACCAAGCCTCTTTGATGTAAGTTAATTATTCTAAGTCAATTATTTTTTATGAATTTTCAATTAATATTTTTAACTTCTTTATTTATTTATCATATTAGGAACTAAAAAAGCACAAGCTTCAAGCTACATCTAGAATTGGAAGAAACCAACTTGATGTATATTTGGATGAGCCAACATTGGATTTTGATTTTACAGAACATATGGATGTTCTACAATGGTGGAAGAATAATAGCCAACGTTTTTCTGATCTTTCATTATTGGCTAGGGATTTGTTAAGTATACATATTACTACGAGTTGCTTCTAAATTTGTATTCAGTATTGGTTCTAGGATTCTTAATAAGTACGTAAATCATCTTTTGTCTGAGAATGTAGAAGTAATAATTTGTACTTCAAATTGGAAACATGGTTTTTATGAAGGTAATTCATTTAATTCAAATATTATTTATTTTTATTTTTTATAATTCTTTTTTTTACTAAATTTTTTCTTTCTTCAATTTTGTGTGTTATTGAAGATGAGGAAGAAAATGACAAAGATGGAAAACTGGAGAGATCTTTAAATACTGCATCTAATGATCCTGGACATTGATTATTTTGAATTGAAGATATGAGAATTACTCAATGGGAGAACAATGTAAAATTTTATCAAATAAATAAATATAATGTAATTTTCATTTAAATGTTGAAACTTTTTAATATAAAAAATAAAGATTTAATAAACTTTTATTGTTACGTACATGTATTTATTATTATATAAATTTTATCTTAATTTAATTGTTCTAAAATATAATTTATTAAAATAATATATTAATTTATTTATTAACTTGAAATATATATATATATATATATATATAAATATATTGAATTGTTGACAATGATAATTTAATTATTAATTTTATTGAGAGATTTGATTTAAAAATAAGAAATATGACGGTCGAGTCACCCTTAGGCGAAGCTGGCCGAGATATGTAGCCCGTCATGATTATCACGGGCTAACCCGCCCTGTCCTGCCAAAGGTGAGGCGAGCCAAAATGGGACGGGTTGACCCGTTTTGTCATTCCTACCCACTTGAAATATCAATATCATCAAAATTTTGAAGACATTGTTTGAATTTAATCATTCTACTCTCTGAACCATTAACATATTTTAATGCTCTCCCTGATATGATCCAATGCATTACCAAGTACCTTCAATCCTTCTTGAACAATTAAATTTAAAATATGTGCACAACAACACGTGAAAGAATTCACCATCACATATCAACCAATGTTGCAAAACAAGTTGACTTTTTAATGTCTTTTGCAAAACATTATTACTAGAAGCATTATCCAGAGTAATAGAAAAAAATATTTTTCTCTATTCCTCAATCATGCAAAAATTCATTTATCTTCTTAGACAACTCAAATCCAATATGAGGTGAAGGTAAATGGCAAAAGTTAAGAATCTTGTTACTTAACTTCCAATTTAAATCAACATAATGAGCTGTCAAACTTATATAACATTAAGTAGTACAAGATGTTTATAAATCAGAAGTTAAACAAATCCTACTACAAATGGTAGTCAACTGTTCTTTAACTATATTCTTTTCTTTCATAAATATTCTTAATACATCGCTCTTAGCAGTATTCCTAGAAACTAACATTGCATCAAGATTCAATTAATTTATTCAAGTCCTAAGCTCTGGATACTCAACAAATTTAAAAGGTAAACCATATCGAATAATTAAATTAGCACACAACTCAGGGGACACCATCTGATCTTTTTTTTTTTACTTCAACTTTCCTTACATGTCTAAAATCATTTGACCCACATTTTCAGTTTTTATCTTGTCACATTTTTCACATTTTTCAATATGACGCTTTAAGTGAGACGTTCCATATTTTTTTCCATCAATTATGTATTTTGTGTTACAACTATTACACACAGCTCTTTCTTTTCCATCCTTACACACATCAATCCTAGTAAAAAACTTCCAACAATCAGATGTATGAGATTTATCCTTCTTGATGTCTAATTTAACATTTTCAAATTTATTTTTAATATGTTGAAACTTAACCTCATTTTCAATTTTATTTTCATTGACGACATCATGAAGACCACAAGTAGGTTTACTAATTGAATCATCTATTTCCTGTTTAAAATTAAAAAAAAATAAACTTCATAATTTTTTCTTACTCAGAGATTTCAACAAAAACAAAAATAGAAAAACATAATAAATGAGTCTTGAGAGAGAAAAATACTAAGAGAAAAAAAATGAAACCTTAAGAAAGTAACAACTATAAAAAAGAGTAAAAAAATATGAGATATATATGATTTTTACCTTATGAAAAATGATGAACAGGCAAGAGATGATGAGTAAGAGGAAAGGAGAGAAAAAGGGATTTATGCTTGAAAAAGAAAAATGTTTTCCATTTAAGTAATTATAAAACTTTTTGAATTCTCCTAATAGTGAGATATTAAGCCCTTATGAATTTCGTTATGAGATAATGAAACTTTTAGAATTCTCATCTTATAAATTTTTATATTATATATTACCTTTCTAACTTTTTGTATTATATCACAATAAAAAAAATTATTAGTAAAACGGACTGACTCGTTCTGCTTCGCAGGTTAACCCAACAAGTTGGTAAAGCAGATCAAAACGGGCTGACAGACTGAAAGTATTAACTTGCCCTGGCATATTATGACAGGCTGACGAGCTAGTCCGCAGACATGACCTGTTTTGCGATCCCTATTCAAAAGAATACCTCACATTGAAAAATCTTTGAAATTACTTGGACCAGATCGAAGCTGATATGTACACAGTAAAACTGATGTATTACTAACTTACAAAACAAGTGAGTCTGGCATCCCGTACCAGTGTTTAATTTCATTGCCCGTATGTATCATGTTCACCGAAGCTTTGAAATGAATGAACTACACTAAAACCTTTCAAGTTTCAACTTTTGAAGACATTTTCATCATCATTTACTTTCAAAGAATATGTATGGTTTTACATATACCAGTTACATGCAAATAAATTATGGCAAAGAAGGCGTGAGGGAAGGCTTTGTCACTTTCAGCTCCCCACAGTCACTAATATAAACAGTCGTAAGAGGCCTGTTCCATATGTTCCGTGCATTCTGAGCCCTTTCATCTCCAAAAAACTCAGCCAAGTCATTAAACTGGCGAATTCTCTCAGAGGGTTGGTACGTAGGAATGGAAGCTATTGCTGTGATGACATCCAATCCTGCAATTAGATTCGTTTAGGAGCTCACTTCATTGCTAATAAAGATAAGTTAAAATTCCTTAATGTAGCCCCCCAGCAGACTAAGTATTTCAACATTCCCACAACTGACTTGTGTCATCAGATTTATAGTTTGAACCACAATATGGTTCAATGTAAGTCAAAACTAGTTATTGCATCATCTTTTTGATTAGTTACTAAGCATATACTCTATAATAAGGCTTTGTGATAGATGCTTCCAGTAACATTTGAAACATGTATTATATACACTTGATAGCATTGAGCTCGAATAATGAGTTGCCTCCACATTAGTTCTTTCAAGAACTAATCTATGATTAAATTTTTTATTAGAGTTATGGTGATTCAAGAAATTTCCTATGTCCCAAGATCTGTTTGTTTGAACAACCCTGATTCGGAATCCTCAATCTAACATTATCAGCGTTACCTTCGAGCACACACACCCTTTTCTATTAACTAAAACATTTTAGGGATAAAGATTGTACAACCGCTACATTAAACTGGTCTGCTACAGAAGCCCCTAGAGAGCGATATTTGAATCCCTCTTGCATCCCACATCAGTTTTCAACAAATTTTGATCATAGAAGAAAATGCATTGAAAAAAAAAAGTGTTCCAAGCACTCTTAATATCTACACTTGATACTTGACAGCATTGAGATCAAATCAATGCATGTACATAGGCAAAAGATAGAACAACGAGAAAAAACATGACTCGTCTCCATAGTTCTTCGAGTACTAACTCTTAAAATTTTTGAAAATCTACGGTGAGTCAAGCATTTCAGAGAATTAAATTGATGGTCTTCTCTAAAGCAGATACTAAGTTTTAAAAAAAATTATCCAACTTTCTAATTTCAGAATCTTTATTTTACAAATTAACATTATCATTATCATTGGCATTACCTTCGAGCACCGTTCCAAAGACAATGTTCTTGTTATCGAGCTGGGGACAAGGCCCAGGTCCAGTGGTGATCAAGAACTCAACATTCCGGTACTCAGGATCGAGTTTAATATCATCGTCGTCGTCGTTTTCAGAGAGCGAGAGCGAAACGACGCCGGGTCGGGAATGTGTGAGTGCGAATGCCTTGGAGTCGACGGTCTCGGTGTTGCGCGGCAGGTCGCGCGGCGGACGGACCTCGCCTTTGTCGGGGCGGCCCTGGCGGCCGGCGAGGAAGTACTGGCCAGGAAAGACCTTGTGGACGAGCGTGTTCTTGTAAGAAGATGACTTAGGGTTTGAGCCGAGACACACGGACTTGAAATTTGAGACGGTGAGGGGAACGAGGTTTCCGAAGAGGCCCAAGACGACGCGGCCCAAGAGCGTGGAGTCGGAGCAGATGGGGGAGAGAGTGTCGGCGCGGTTTGGGAGGAAGTTGTTGGGGCAGAGGCTGAAGTCCATGAAGACGCGGTCGGTGACGGTTGGGGTGGGAGGGGGCGTGGAGGGGAGTGAGAGGGTGGAGGAGGTGGTGGTTGTTGTGGAGAGAAGGAGGAGCGAGCGTCGCGTGAAGTGGTTGGGGAGTGGGAGAGAGGGCGGTGGTGGTGGCGGTGGTGGGAGAGAGTACGCCATCAAAGTTCATTGTTGGGTCGGGGGTGTGAGACGGAGAACTTGCAGAACTCGCTGTGGGGTCCACCTTGGATTGGATAACAGATAATGCAAATAATAACAACTTATGGAATTACCACCTTCAAATTTTAAATAATTTTAAATTTGTCTTTTAACACAAATATTAAAATTAACATTTTGATTATATAAGAATTTATACATCGCCTAACAATAATTTTTTTTGTTTTAAATTTGCAGATTATTTGGGTTAGAAGATAAATCTATGAACATCAACAATAACTGTTTTTATTATTATTTTATTAACATTCATTAAAAAATACTATATATTATTCTTTATTTTAATATAGTCAAACTAGTTTTTCTTTCTATGAATGAAAATATTATTTATGACTAAAATTATTTAATGTTAAGAGGGTACTTTTAAAAAAAATAATTACAATGTTATTTAAGGATAAAACTGTTTCTAATATACTAAGTTGAACTAATAAGTTTTTGGAGTTTTTTTCATTATTCTTCATCACTGTATTACTTATAGATTATAAGATCATTCATTATAATAAGGTTGGAGTAAAATTATTGTATTGTGTTGTGTTGTGTGAGGGGTGTAATTAGCTTTGAAGATTGTTTATTATCTGGAATTGAGAATCACCTACATTACAAAATAACAAATACTAGTGTCAAGAAAGTTAATAAAAGTTTCTCACCTCAATCCACCCTTTTTACCAGTAGGACTTCTCCAAAGCCATTTAGGACCTACTTCTACTTTAAAATAACAACAAACTCATGAATAACAACATATCCAACAACATCTAATGTATATAAGAAAAAGCATAAAAGTAAACAATGTTAAAGTTAAAACATGTGGTTCACAATTTTTTTTTTCCCTAAAAAAGCATGGATGTTACGGTTTTGATCCATATGACCTTTTAAATCCTAGATCAAGTAGAATAAAATAAATTATTATATATTCCATAAAATTAAACCGGAAACATTGAAAAAAAAATGACAAAAACAATACCGAGAATCATGAGAGAAAATCATCTTCTGTGTGATTTTAATATTCATTTAGTAAAGGACAGATTTTTTAAATCGGTTTCGGATAATACTTATAAGATTTAAGAAAATACTGATTTGGGAGAAAAATAAAACATTGATTTAGAAAAATCTGAAAGCTTCATATGGGAAGCTCGTGTAACAAAGTTTTGAACGAAAAAGATAAAAATGAAATTACGAAAGCATGGTTTGATCTGTTCATGTAATAGATATGTGAGAAAGAAATGTGATTATAATATGTCTGAGAAGAGAAAGTGAAAGGAGATGAGAGAGTGAATTGAAGTATATATAATAATCTATTAAACTTTTTTTCTTTTTAGGTATTGATATTTGACAAACACTCCTTCAATGTATACACATTTAAAGACAATGATAAGTAGAAATAAATATAAAAATTTTAAATTTATCATTATTATATCAATAAAAATAATTATGAAAATATTGTTTTATTTAATAAAATTGTCAAAATATGTTTTTCCAACATTTTAAACTCGAAAGTCTTAATAGAGATTAATGGACTAACTTAAATGCAATTGAAAACAAAAATATCCTATTTTAAAATTAAGGAATAAAATTTAAAATAAAACCCAAATTTATAATGGAGGAAGAGATCATTAAATTAAATAGTTAAATAATAGAAATTATGTTTGAATATTTATGTTACGGACAAGTGTTTCACTGTTAATTTTAAAAATAAATATATTATTATACTTTTTTAAAATTAGACGTAAGGTTGATAAGATTTAATTGGAAATCGATATCCAAACCAATATCTTATTTTTAAATAATTAGATTTTAATTAAATTAAGATAAAATTGAAAAAAAAATCAAAATCAAACTAATAAAATAGAATAAATCAGCTGAATTTTTTAATTAAAAAAATTTATAAAAAATATAATATATTTTATTTTTTTATCTAATATTAATTATATCTACTTTAAATAATAATTATTTTATTTAATAATTATTTATCATTTGTAATACATTAATTTTTATTATAACATACATATAATAATAATAATTTTTGAGAACATATTTTTACCGATTTAATAACATTCAATTTTGAAAATATTTTTACCCTCTAACATTTTCTAAGTACACTGATAGTAGATTTTATTTTAAAAAATAATATTTATTTGAAAACATTACATTTTTTAAAAAACAAACTTTTTCATAATAAACAAAAATTAATTAATAAGTAGAAGGGAAATATTTGATTTTTTGAAAAAGATTAATTAGAAAAGAGAAAAGAGGGTAAAAGCTATAATTACGGAAACACTAGAGGGAGTGGAAACGCATAGAGCGGGTTACGAGGAAGGAAAAGGGAGTAACAGAAATCTACAAGTATGGGGCAGTGTGGAAGCAGTGGCAGTGAGGTGAAAGTTGAGTGGATCCCACAGGCTGAGTGAGAGCTTCAGGTCAGGACCACTCTCATCAATCTCACCCAACACGCCAATCCCGATCCAACCCTTCTTCCTTCCTTTTTATGTTTTTGTTTTAACCTAAACGCACGGGACCGGGACCGGGACCGGGACCACCAAACAGTTCCGCGTGACCTCTGTCGCCACCCTTTCTCTCTGACTCTCTCTCTGTCCATCCGACCATATTTTCAGCCGCCGGCACCTCTCTCTCTTCCATCTTCCTTCACTGTGCCGGTTCTGCTCTGCTCTGTTCTGTTCTGTTCTGTTGGGTTCGGTTGCAGCCCCACCACACTCTACCTCTCAACCTGATCCATTCACCTTTGGCCCGCACTCCTAAATCTTCTGCAGTACTATGTTGTGGTCCATAAAACCTCGTTAGGACACGTGTCGTTCCTGGGTGCTCACGTCGCTTTCCGGTTGGGTAGTGGCCAGCCCACACCACTGCCACTCCTCTCATACGTCCTTTTGGGGTTCTGGGTCCGCTCACCATTATGTTTCCTTTCTTTTTTAATAAACAAATCATCATAATAAAAGAAATTATATTTCTTATATTTTATCACACCACGTGATTTTTTTATTACACAAAACTTTCATTTAATTTTTTTTTATTTAAATATTTTGTGCAATTTAAAAATTTAATTAATATCATAATTCAGTTTGAATAATTGCGTTTGATGCATATAATTAGAGGATATAAATTAATATATACATTTTTTAAATCAATAAAAAATAGCAAATAAAATCAATGAAATTTTGGATCTTTCCATTGTGTTGGGATGATTAAACAAAGGAAAAAGTTATATATCATACATATTACATTGTTTAAGAAATATTTTTTAAATATAATTTATAAATATTTGTATATTTTAATTCATTAAAATATTAACCAATAAAAGTGTGAAGCGCATACTAGTATTAATATATATTATATTAAAATCACATCCTATAACTTCATTTTAGTCATATTATAAACATCTTATTTATAATTTTTTTTCACTGTATCCTCTATTTTGTTGGTCTCTAATCTGTTTCTTCATCATTTTTTCTTCAAAAGAAAATCGAAAGAAAAATGTAGATGAAGAAGGTAAGTGAAAAAGTAAGTTGTCACTTCTGAAAAATCTGTCGTATAAAGGGTCCTCTATGGTGCTCTTCTCCTCCACCTACAAATCTTGGATTGCTTACTATTTTCTAATCTCGCGCCAATCCCTACGATGCACCTAACAACACCTATTTGCCACCCTATTGTGTGCCCTAAACACCACCTAGCACCTTGTGAGACCCGTTCTTTATATTTTTTAATTTGAACTTTTTTATTATTATCATTGTTTTGTGGAAGTAGGACAAGAAATGAAGGAGAGTTAGGATTTAGGAGTGATTCATCTCTTCTCAAAAGTCGCATCTTTCAATTATAATAATTTGGCGTCAAACAGTAAAACCGATATTTTGTCCCTATTTTTAAAGATATCTTTGGCTGTCTCCAAAGAAAAAATACCAAGACAACACGTCGGCACACTGTGTCCTCACTCGGAACCACATCCTCACACGAAACATTACTTAAAAGTGCAAATAGGATTATTCTATTGGGGTAATTAAACAAGTAATAATAAAATTAATATAATTAATATAATTATAATGTAATTATTAGCTGCCTCCAACATCATTGATCAAACCTTGTCTTATTTCACCAAAATCTCCAATAAGGTGGCACCACAAATCCCTCCACGTTATCACCAATCCCACCCTCGATCCTCTCCCCCTCCCCCTCTCCTCGATTTTCGTGTCAACACTTCCAAAAGTCTTCCCCCTCTACAAAAGTGCTTTCTTTCTTTCTTTCTTTCTTTCTTTTTTGTTTTTCAAAACCCCTTCTTCCTCTTCTTCTACTCCGATGCTCCAACCTGCGTTTACAGTGTCATGAAATCCAATTAAATGTGCTGGGAGTGGGAGATACAGAGAAAGAGAACCAGAACACAAGATTGATCGATTCCGCGGCTAAATAATGGCTTTCCACGACCATCTGGCGCACGAAATCACGTTCCAGCCGTTCACGGAGGAGCAGCAGATGGGTCAGGGCAGAGACATGCAGCGGCTGCTTCCGCTCTCCGGCGGAGCGCCGACGTGGCTTAGCGGCAGCAACGCGGCGACGCTCCGGCAGCAGAATTTCCTCCACCTGCAGCCGGAGTCGGCGACCGCGCAGCCAAACGACGACGTTCGGGGAGGCATGGATCGGAACCGGACGGAGAGCAACTCGGAACCGGACGACTTGGCGGAATACAAAGCAGACATTCTGGGACACCCGCTTTACGATCAGCTCCTATCAGCTCACGTCTCGTGTCTGAGGATCGCCACGCCCGTTGACCAGCTTCCACGGATCGACGCGCAGCTTCAGCAGTCGCAGCGCGTCGTTGACAAGTACTCTAGCCTCGGAAACGGCGTTGTCGACGACAAAGAGCTTGATCAATTCATGGTTAATTTCTTCCTCTCTCTCTCTCTCGAAACCTATCATTATCATTTTTTTATTACAAAACCTATCATTATTTACTTGGTTATAACTTCATCGGAGTCCTATGTTATTCTACTGTATCAACTATCAACCCTACTCTATGATTATCCAGTACTTTAACCCACTTTCCAATGAGTTTAATGAATTGATTTAAGGGCGTGTTTGTTTCCTTTCGGTTGTCGTTTCTTCTTTTCTTTTCCAAACTGTGGAGTATGAAGCTGCTTTTGTTATGCTTTGACTAATGTCTTTTAGCTAGCATTCTACCTGTTGGTGGTGCCTTTGTCAAATAAGTATCTTATTAATTAATGATTTGATATTATAAATTTAGTAATATTTTCCATGATGATACTATTTTAATCTTTCACTTGAGACTCGCATTAATCATCTTGTGTTTGTTTTAGTTCTTTTTTATCTCTTTCTTTTTTGTTAATTAAGTTTATGTATAACTGCATATGCTCTTTCTATGTCAATATATATATGTATTTTTTTTTTTTTAATTACTATTCATTCGGCTAAGCTTAGAGGACCTCCCTGTCCTGATTTTCCGGAATATGTTGTCTGCAGTTTGAAAAATAAAATAAAAGACAGGGTACTGTATGTCGATTACGGCAGAACAGTTACCCAATTGTAGGTGCAGAATTCAAGAAATGGACAAAAAAAAAAGACAAGAGAGAGGGAGGGGAAAAAAGTAACATTTCTTTTACATCTTGAAGGGTTTTACTAAGAGTGAGTAAATGAATCCTATTTGTTTTGGTGTAATGAAATAAAGTCATTCAAGGTTGCTTGGTTGTGCCGTTTAATTCAAAGTGCTTTTATCTTCAAGAATCTTAATCTTCCAGCTTCTTAATTCCACATATGTTACACTTGTTTATTCTTTTTGGCTGAAAACTTAATGTGATGGTTAAAAGTTCTTGAATTCTTGAAGAATATGTTCTCACTTAACAACTCACCAAATTTTGTCCACCATTTCCCCCTTGTATAGGTTACTTCTTTTGCCAACTACGAAATAATGAAGTCATGGGACCTGATCGTTATTATGTTTGTCTTCCAGTGGATAGCAGTTGGCCTATCTATTTATTAATTCACGCATAAATCATTCCTATTATTCATTTTTCAACCTTCAATATTCAAACATGGTAATCACTTAGTGAGAGAAACAAGGATTATGAGCATTTTAATATTAAAAGTTTTCAATACATAATTAATGTCTGTGCTAGTATATTCATCATGTACCTTACTAGTACTAACTAGCTTGTTACTGAGTCAGAAAAGATCAAAACGAACAAAAAAATTTAGAACTATTTGTTGAAGTTTAACTCCTTTGGATTTATCTGTTTAATTAACCTATTCCATTTCCCTTCTTGTGTTGGGATATCTTTAAATAGTTCCCATGATTGAGATTAGTTTTTAGGACGTGTGCTTGTGCTTATTTCACCTGAAACTCCTTCACTTACAAGTTTTGCATTTATTTTTGGTGTAGTCGCATTATGTTATACTTCTCTGTGCTTTTAAAGAACAATTGCAACAACATGTCCGCGTTCATGCCATGGAAGCTGTTATGGCTTGTTGGGAGCTGGAGCAATCTCTACAAACCTTGACTGGTATATTTCAACTGTCATCAAAATCTTTGTTTGAATCTCCATGTTATTGTGTTTTATAAATTGTGAAAAAATTATATTTTAACACCTCTTTCAATTCAAAGTTTTAAATTTTAATATGTATTGTTATCATACTATTAAATATAATTAGAGAGTAGTTATATATATATATACACCAGTGTTCTAAATTGTTAACCACTTTGTTAGTAAAAGGGTAGGAAAGAGGAGCCATAAAAACATAATTAGACTACACAACCACCAAATTAGAGTGTTGTTTTTAACAAAATTTTATCAAAAGGGAAAAGAGATTGGTATATCTCACTATGAAGGAAAACTATAATCTTATGCATGCATGAAAAATTGAGTGAATAAATTAAATTAAAAAAAAAACGAAACTCAGTGAACAAAATTGAAAAAACAAAAGCCAGTCATCTTGTTGAGTGATTATAAATGTTAAAATAATAAAGTAAACGTTTAAGCTTTTAAGAATGTTTTGAAACTGGAAGAATAATTGAAAACTAGTTAAAATAATGGTTAAAGATTCAATAATTTAATCCTAGTTAATAATTCAATAATATCTTTTAATTTTATAATAATATAATACACAGTAATAAGTTAAAAATAAACTTGCTTGAACATACTTATCGTTTGAACTTAAGTTTAATATTTTCTAAAAATATTATTTTTTTAAATTACTGCGACACCCAGTATTTATCAAACAAGTTTTTTTGAAGGTAATATTAAACAAAATTATTAAATAAACATTATGACATTGTGGGAAATCAGATGTCAAGCTAAAGATATAAACAATAATTTTTCTTTTTTCTTTCACCCTTATGTGGCTATTGATTTTTTTTTTTGGAAATGAGGCATGTAATGTAAGTGCTTCAAAAGGACTCAAAATTCGCAGTCCAAAACAATTGTTTTTGGATTTTTAATTAAAAAAATATATTTTCCAACATTCGATCTTAAATTTTATGTGTTTTTTAGGCTAGGTTTTCTACACTAAATATACCACTCTTGTGTTTGATTCCCTGATGGACTGGTCTGACCCGTCAGTGCACTCCCATCTTAGCAACCAGGTTCTTACAGTAACACTGTCTGCACGCAAAAAATATTACATTATTTTTTCGTTTTGTTTGTTTGATGAGACAAAAATGTTAACATGCGTACTTTTCATTTTATCATTTAAATAATGCTATGCAATAATAATAATAAATATTTTGATAATATTATTGCTTATCCTGTTAAGTATCCATTTCTAAGCTCTTTATCTATTACATGCGTCACAAACCAGACAAATTAAGACTTACAAAGCCAAATTATAAGGGTTTCTCTGCATGCTAGCGTGTTGATGGAGAGCACCAAACATAGCATGCAGGAGCTATGCCATTGATCTTTAAACTTTAACTTTCCATTATTCACACGGGTATTAGTGTAGTGTAAGTGGCAAAGAATGAGAACGATAGTTTTATTGGTATGTGTGTGCGTAAAAACTAGAGAAATAAGCAATGACATGAATCTGGCGGAATTCAATTAAAATTTATGATTACTAATTTTGTTTTCATCAGTAATAAAGAGGGTGATGCTTGTTTGTAAACTCTTATTGAATGAAAAGTAGTGAAACCATATATAGAATGTGTGATCCTTTCCATCATTATATGGTGCATGCACACAAAAGATATGGAAGATTTAAAATATGAAGCTATACATGAACAGGTGTATCTCCCGGGGAAGGAACGGGTGCAACTATGTCCGACGATGAAGAAGACCAGGCTGAGAGTAATGCCAACTTATACGAAGGAAGCATGGATGGCGCTGATAGTCTCAGTTTTGGACCTCTTGTTCCCACTGAGACTGAAAGATCTTTGATGGAGCGTGTGAGGCAGGAGTTGAAGCATGAGCTAAAACAGGTAATTAGTTAGAAATAAAAACCTGGTATAAATGGCATTCTTTTGTAAAATGTTACTGTATGATTCAAGATTATGCGATTTGACTTATTTCTATTGATTGGGACAACATGGTCGTGGACCATTATTAACTAAGGATTTCTTTCGTTACATCTTGCCCTCAACCAGGGTTACAAGGAGAAGATTGTGGACATAAGAGAGGAAATTCTACGAAAGAGAAGAGCGGGGAAGCTCCCAGGTGACACCACTTCCCTTTTAAAAGCTTGGTGGCAGTCACATTCCAAATGGCCATATCCAACTGTAAGTTACACATGAGCACCAATGATTGCTTATACTTGATATTTTTGGAAAGAATGTGTCGTAACTTAAACATAGATTTGTTTAAATTTTAAAAAGATATATAACTTATCCTCAAACGTATTTTTAAGGTATGTGAGAGTATATTAACAAACTTATATATTACTCTATTTGTGTCTAGTCATATGTGGACCATCTTCATTTCAACTTTATTATCTAAAGTTTTTAGTGCCATGACGATGAGGAGAGATAACTATGATGTTGAGTGGGAAAAGGATAAGATTATTATCCCAATGTAGTACCTAACTAAGGATTAATCTACGTATTTGTTGAAATTGCTGGGCTTTTGTCTCATCGATGATTGCTGATACTGTTTGTTGCACCCGTGAATGTTCTTTCAGGAAGAAGACAAGGCAAGGTTGGTGCAGGAAACAGGCTTGCAACTAAAGCAGATAAATAACTGGTTCATAAATCAAAGGAAAAGGAATTGGCATACTAATCCTTCTTCTTCTAGTGGCTCCAAAAGCAAACGCAAGAGGTGAGTTTGTATTTTCTTAAATCATGCATTATAATTGGAATTATTTGTATGTTTTTGGATAACACACAAGAATAAAATCTACCCTCAAGTTTATGGTGATACCATGATAAAAGTAAAAACAGCTATTTATTGCTTTATCTTCATCATAAAAACCAGTTGATTATTTCTCATAATGAAACCATGCCTAACATATCCCAGCTTCTTAACCCAATGATCGGAAGGCCTATCTCAAATACACAGTTTAATCTAGTGGTCTCAAAATAGATTATTTGTTTATTTATTTTTTATAAACAGTAGTGGTATACTTTGTGAACTCCATAATAAAATTAAATAAAATAAAAAATAAAAACATACTAATCTAAACATACATTTAGATGCTGAATGTTACTCTTTTGGACAGTAGTGGAGCAGGTGAGACAAGTAACCAGAGCTTCATGTGAATGGACACGGATTTGAACAGGGAAAAATATTATGTATAGCTATTCTTCATTTTATGCAACAACATTGGACCGGAGCTTAGGAAGAAGCATGAAACTGAAATGTTGGTATAATGAATGCTTAAGCTTAATTTGTGATACCAACTTGTATTTGGGGGCAATTAATTGCTTGGTTTGTTCAATAACAGAAAAACCTAGTATTGTTGAATATGAGGCTGGTGATGAGTTGGTAGCTGAATGAAATTGTTGCAGGCATCTACGTATTCGGTTCAAGGGATATCTTTGAATGCATGCTGATACGTATATTTATAATGTATAACCTCTCTTCAGAGTTTTTTTAGTTTTTATAAAGAACAAAGAATTCTTGAATGTGCTGGTGATAAGTTTTATTTATTTTTATATGTTATTTGTATGAAATATCCATTGTTATTGATCATGTTATTGATCTGTTTTTATTGTTACAAATAAAAGTGTCTTTAAAATATATATATATATATATATATATATATATATATATATATATATATATAATAAATAATATGATACATAGGAAATTGGAGATATAGCTCTTGTCAAAATAAATTGAAAAAGAAAATGTTTTTGGGAAATGAAAAATTTAATTTGAACAACAAACTAGATAGCAACTTGCAAGTATTTGTCTCAATAAGTGGTGGAGGAAAAATATTTTCTTCGAGCAACAAATAAAGAAAATAGAATTTTGTTTTAATTTTAAAAGTAATAGAATAAATTTAATCAACACTTAATACTTTATTTATTTTGTTTAAAATTCATGTTTCTTTTATAGTGTTTTCGGTGAGAATATATGTCAAAATATCTTCACAAAAAGCAAATAATAAGATTGTAAGACTTATTTGTTTAGACTAATAACGTTCCACAATTATAATTTTTTTAAAATTTATAAATATAATGAAAAGAAATTGATTTTGATGTTTCATTCATTATTATAAAGATCAAAACTTATATTCATGATTATCATACCTTCATTGTCTCGATTAAGAATATATTAGTAAAATTTGAGTTTGTTTTATTTTTTTGTATTTTTTTGAAAATCAAACAAGATGACTTAATTAGAAGACAGCGATTGCAAATAATATAAGTTAAAAATAATGTAACAAATACATATAAAGGATTTGCTCGAGTGTAAATTACAAATAAAAATAAATCGCATAATCATAAACCGTATGAATATAATTTGCCAAGAGTTGTAAAAATACATGAAAACAATGAAATAATTCGCAATTAAATGAGCAGAAATCTGGGCTAATTTTTTAGAAGTAACATGATTTTAAAAAATATAAAGTAAAAAATTTAGAGAAATATGAAGATTAGGTTGATTTTAGAAGAGGTTTAACAGAGTCTAAGACATTTTCTCATCTATTTTGCATGCAATCTAAATAGGTATGCATCCATTCAACTTAATTCTTAAATTATATCCAAATGTTTTTAAGAAATTCTTAAATGATTTTGCTATAATCAATCTAATTGTTAAATTATTTTTATTGTTATATTTTACTATATCGAGCACAAGGAACAATTCTTATTTATACAACTATTCTAAATTATCACTCCTTATGCAAAGAACTTTTATACAAAAGTTATGAAAAGAACTTTTATACAGAAGTTATGAAAAGAACTTTCACTCCTTATTGTAATATGTTTTCATTTCCAAAAAATTTCTTTAAAAAGTCTTGATCTCATGATACATGTTAAAAAAACATATAATATAAATATAAAGTGTATGTTTTTTTTATTAACTTCCTTTTAAGTCTAATAACCATTATATTTTATTGTTAATATATAGAGAAGGTTATATTATTTACTTTCTTATTTAGTATCATTATACCAATTATTAACAATATAATATTCAAAATCATTTAAAAAAAATACTCACCTACAAGATCATTAAAATAACAAATGGATAATTAAAATAGTGATTACATTACTTATTTGATGTTAATCATTTTCGGGACTATCCAACATTTTACACCTCATGTGTTTGAGGTATTATTCACTTTGAAACATTTGTTTGTTACGATTTTATCCTTAAATACATATTTTTAAGTTAAGAAAGATGATTATATAAACTATATTTAATTTTAATATTTAAGTAAGGTGAGATTTGTGATTATTCTGAAGAAGTAATAGCTTAATATAATCTTGTTCATTAATTTTTAATTGAAGAAAAATCAATCAACCACCGTTAGCTTCCTGAGTTAAAATTCATTGGGAAATTATATAATATTGAAGTGTTTCAAAGTGAAAATGATAATATAGACGTTGAACCAGTAAAATCTTATTGTCATTTCCTTTTGACATATGCTAAGAACATTCTTAACTTGTTATTTTAGAGACAAAACACATAACTTCTTTAATTGATTGGTTAAACTTACAAGTCTTTTTGTCAAACGTCCATTTAGATCACCTTTAGTTATTTTAATTTGCTTCCCTTGATTCTCCTTTAAAAACTTCTTTTTTGTTTGAAACACTTCACTCCTAAACCAAGTGTAACTTATATGATCTCATTCGGCTTATTCAATTATGAATTTTCCCTATCTTTAAGAAGCATTTGCATTCTATCAATAATAAAATTCTCTCTTTTCCTTTAAAAGGAGAAGATTGTATGCTTTGCTTCTTAAAAACAGAAAGCTTCCGAAGAAGCTTATGAGTATTACCTCAAAATTCTCTTTAAATTAAGAAAAGTTCTATCAAAATTTGAAACAATTCTCCCCTTCAATTATATCTAACCAATATATGATATATATGATTTTCGATCTAAAAAATTTTAGTGGTTAGTTTTGACATAAAGTATGTGACCTTCTTCCCATAAAAACCACAAATATTGTCAAGGTAATTTGATTAAGTCAAATGATTTATTTTTCTTTCTTAAAAAAACTGTTGAATTTCATGACCTGATTATTATCGTCAAGACTTTACTACTAGAGTTTCAATCGATCATGTTTAAGTAAAAAGTACAATTAATGCTTTCAAACTCAATTATTATTGTACCAAGAATTTTGACGAGTCATCCTTTAAATTGAACAAATAAACATTATCAAGAAATCGGTAATTTTTTTTTTAAATACAAGAAAGTCTCAAAAAGATGAACTATTTCATTGTTTATTGTTAAACAAATAACCTTTCCTTATGAGAAATGATAAAGAAAAATTAATTAAAATTCAATACCAAAAGGTAAAACTAAATTTGATAGATTTATATAAAGTATTTATCCAGTTTTCCTTTAACACTTTTTTGTTCTAGTCAAATCTTTTACTTATTCAAGTTTATTAATGAAATTAATTTTAATTTTATTTGTAATGATTTTTATATAAATTAATATATATATATATATATATATATATATATATATGAGTGTGATTTAATAAAATAATATTATTTTAAATTGTTTTAATTATATTTATTATTTTTTAAAATAGACTTATTTATAAACTTACGATTGTCTATTTAGGTTACCTATTAAATAGAATAACTAAAAAATAGTTTGATTTTAGAAATATATTCATACGATGACCTAGTTACATAAAGAGATTCTCAGGTTAATGATGATGATGGTGTCATATTCTCGGTACGGTGGTAAGTGATATCCCGCTCTTGACAAACTTAGGTGAATGTTTGGGACTACACTTTAAGCAGACCGTTAAAGATTTCACATAGATGAGACGCATCCAAAACATTTTAAATAGTGCATAGTGTAATAAACACTTTATTCATGTAATCACTTAAGACCCATCCCAAACATTTTAAATAATGCATAGTACAATATATGTATACATTAATAATCACTGTGTAACAGAATGTACAGATTAACCTTCACTGCTTACGACAAAAATGCGAGGTTTTATGTTTTTTTTTTTACAAAGGACTAAGTTAAAGTACAAATTCGTGTCATACAGGAATTAAAACGATAAACATGACCAAAATAAAAGAATAAATTTAATGCAGTCTCAATGTAAGCAAATGGTAGGATTAAATTTAACGCCGTGGTTACGTGAGCAACAGTAGAAAATTGATTCGCAAATGTATTTGCGACGGTGAACTTTCCTTTATGGAAAAAGAATATTGAAAAAAAATTATACAAACTTGATATTTTTTTGCAAGTGTTGAGAAGATATTTCCCTCTATCTATGTACCTTTGGTTTTCTGTTTTCGTTGGCCAGATTGAGCAAGTAAAAGGGTAAACAAAGGGTTTATCAGGTGTGCAAGTTGAGGGAGTATTGTACAAAATAAGCGAATCAGGCGTTAAGATCCTTCGCTCACTGGCAAAGTCCACATGAAAAGAAATCCAAGAATGGTTTGTTTTCGACGCCTTTATTGGAACACGTTACTTCCAGAATACTAACTTTTTCTTATGATCATATCATTCGTATTCATCTTCCATTTTTTTTCTGGAAAGAGAAAATCGCTTTAGGCAACATTCGGCTTGTAATTGAGTGGGTGTGGGTGACCATACTACATGTCCTATTTCTTGAAACGTTGGGAAAGACGAAAAGCACAACGGTTTGAGAAAAACGAATGATCTTTACAGAACGAATGATTAATGATTCTATGAACAAGTTAAAATTTAAGCAATAAAATCATCAGAAACAGGCAGGCAGAATTCATTGTTCAGTTTGGCGACGAGTGGAGGGAAAGGGAGCACTGAATCTTGCGGAGAAACTGGGAGGCATGTCATCATCTTCACTCTGAGCCCCACTGTTGAAGTTGAGAGCATAGCTGTGTTCGTCATACTGAAATCTGTTCTTCTGCTGCTTCCTGCCATACCCGCTTATCTTTCTGATGAATGTTTTCCACCTGGGACCTGCAATCACTTCTGTAAACTCCTTCATCTCCCTCAACTTGCAACTCACCCACGAATCACCCCTTTGCTCCACTTGGTCCTTACCTTCTTCATACCCTCTACACCAACTCAATCCAAACCCACGAAAGCATCCATACCCACATCCACTGAGCTCTTGGTGATCATACAAGTCTTCCTTGTGTTCCACTGCCTCCACCAGTGGCCTTCCCTCTGAAGCAGCCATATTTTCAGAGAATGGACAGTTTGCAAGGGTTGGAATTATGTAGATAGTTTCTATATAGATGATGATTATGGAGAATAGGGGGAGAGATAATGGGAGAGATGCAATGGAGAAAATGTCAAAGAAAATAAAGCTACAGCTGTCTCCAACATCTCCAACTAAACTATATTAATTAAAAAAAGGTAACATAATTGTTGAGTTTGGAAATGCCAGGGACGGTTTCACCCGATGATTGGCAATTGGCATGTCCGTCAATCCAGACACAATAATACAATTAAATACTAAAAAAAGAAAAGGAAACGAAAAGTGAAAATGGTAGTATAATATTTGAATTAAATTTCATGTGCCCCACACCTAACGGGAAGGATAAAGCCGACCCCAACGGTACGCTGGGTCATGCTCAGCTGTTGGTGGATCCCACGTCCATAGAATATTAGAAGCAAAGAAATTTAGTTGTCGAGGCATCCACGTGACAAATCGTTGAAGAAAAGAAAAAGTCCTAGGTCAATACATACACAGTAACACACCACCAGTAAGGATCAGTAATCGCTTCCCTTTCTATCAAAATCAAAATAATCACTTGAAAACAGTAAACAGTAACAACATCACTGTTTAGTGCTTTAACTCTTTACAATGTCCATTTTTACAAGCACTATAAAAAAATTCAAAGATATCAACATCTTTCTTTTCTTTTCTGTTTCAACTAAGTACGCCACATGATTTCGCTGAGGTTTGGGTGTAATACATGAATATGATGAAGCAGTGCAAAAAGGACTGACAACTATTAACCTTACCTTACCACCTGACACTTGCAAACTTTTCCTACGGTATATATTGATCAAAGGATTGATTCACCGAATTGATGAAAAACACAAACCAGATCCAAAACCGGAATTAAGCACACTGCAGTTGTTGGAAATCATTTCTGCACTTGACTCAGCGATGAAGCAGGTTGCTGCTGTTGATTTTGTCCTTTAGGAGAGATCTTGGTTGCCATGGAACGTAATCCATTGGCAATATCAGTGAAGGAAGGTCTTTCTGATGGTTCTGATGACCAGCACCTCTCCATTAGCAGTCTCCATTCTGGATCGCAAGATTCTGGAACTGGAGGTCTTAAAGTGTTGTTTACTATGCCACCTGAATTATTTTTGAAAAAAACAAAATATCAATAATCAAAAGCTAGTGAATAGAAGGCTCAAGCATGGATTCAACATTTTGGACTACCTATGATGGCCCCATAGTGCAAATCAGCATATGGCTCTTCTCCAGTGAGGAGTTCCCACATGACAATACCAAACGAAAACACATCAACCTGACACGATAAATATGAGAAACAAAATAGTTTATATAGGCTTGACAAAATATGAAGGAAGCATCAAAATATATCAATGTTTCTACAAAGTTAAAGCATTAAATAAACCTTCTCTGAAACAAGACTACTGCTCCCATTCAGTAGTTCTGGGGCCATCCAAGGTAGAGTTCCTCTAACCCCACCGGATATTAAAGTCTGGCATTTTACTTTGGACAGACCTAAGTCCCCAACCTGAAATGAAAGTCAGAAAGGTCGATAGCTGCAATACAAAACAATGCATGAGCTCATTTGTATCAACTTTTCACGAGGGAATCACCTTCGCTTTTAAAAAATCACTTCAATAATTTCTATGGGTTTTTTATGCTTTTTTTGAGAAAAAAAAAAAGGAATTTATAGGAAACCAATTTATGATTATTTTCAGTAGTCACTTTGAATAGATATGAAAATAATTGTTGACATTATAACTAGCTTACGAAAAAAAAAAGTGTTTTTTATAAGTGAAATGAAAATACACTAATAATGTAAATTATATTTACACAAAAAAACTGATAAACTTTGTCAAAAACAAAAATTAGTTTTTTCTTACATAAATCTCTACAAAATAAACCTGAATTTTGTAAATTGGCCCACAAATTATTCACCTCCTCATTTACAACATAGTGTAATGCATGTCTAAAAAGTGAATGAATACAGAATAATAAGATTTCGAATATGACCACACGATAAAATATTTCAACCTTGCAGATTGGACGGTGTGGATCTCGGAGATTCACAAGCAAGTTGTCACTTTTCAAGTCAAAGTGTACTATGTTTTTTCCATGCAAGTATTCCATACCAAAGGCCACATCCATCGCAATCAAAAGCCGCTTGCGCTTGTCAAGATTCCTGATATTATCATAAATATCAAACAATTATGATAGGAACCAGAGGAATAAAGTAGAAAAGAAACTGAAGGTTGTTTTAAGATAGCTTAACTACAATCTCACAGAACACTATGATCACTACCGTAACAGTAAGAAAACTGAAAAATAGAGACGAATAGAAGCACACAGCGCCATACAAGATCGATATGAAAACAAAGGAAAAAACAGTGCACTCCAACTGAGAGAGAATCTCCTCTGCTCCTATGATATGCACGTACATGATATGCGTATTGAATATGATGCATATCCGATATGATAATATGTATACTTTAAAAGTAATAGGATAAGAAGCACGTAAAATACATATTTAAAAATGTAAAAAAATCATAAAACATAATAAATATATAACTGTAATTATGCAAATTAAAATTAAAATCATATTTCATAGACATTATCAAAATAAAAAATTATAATTCATTATCATCATAAATTATTTTCAATTATTTACACATAGGAATAACACTATCAGTCTCCATACTTTTTTCAATTATTTCTTACAGAACAATTTCTATGTTTGGTTTATGAAGAAATAATATTTATGTCCTATATTACACATTTATATGTTTCTTGTAGTTTTATTGGATATATATGTTTTAAAAGCTTGAACATGTCACCAATACATTACATATCAATGAAGTATCTCAAAGTATAGATACGTATCAAACACGAATGCACATCAGAGACGAATACATTAAGCAAGTTGAATTATTGGTCCACTCAAACCCAAACCTCCACCCATTACCAAGATGCAACCCTCCTCCCCCCTTTTGTTAACCTTATCCAAATGCTCATGTTGCTCAACACCATGGCCCATCCATCCCCTATCCATCTCCCTTGATAAACATTTATTATGGCCTATCAACATACCGTTAAGAAACATTTATGAAAAAATCAGAGTAATGCAAACTAATCAACAGAAGGTTTTGTGAGCATGCACCTAGGAACATGGACATGCACACAAATACATGAACACTACCTCCCATTCTTCTGCAGCGCATTTCTTAGAGAACCATTAACCATATACTCTGTAACTGTTGCCACAGAACCTCCGGGGCCATCAAGCACAACACCATAGAATGCTACCACATTTGGATGATGCAGGTCAGCAAGCTTGATTGCCTCATTCCAAAAATCTGCTCTCTGTTGATGTATAAATAATCATGAAAAATGTCAACCAGTTTGTCGGATGGCAAAAGAGAAGTGGGAAACAGGAATCAGAACAATTAATGGTGAGACACAGACCAGGCGCTCTTGCTCTGAAGGCTTTCCTGCAAAACACCTATCATTAATTCTCTTAATTGCAACATCAGTGCCCCTCCATTTTCCATGATATACAGTCCCAAAGGTCCCAGAACCCAACTCTATCAACTCCTCAAGGTCACAATTTTTTATAACCTAGCCAAATTGTAATTGTAACACATTAAGTTTTTAGCTGAGCTTAGTTGGCAATATGAAACATAGAAGAAGAACATGCAAAAGAAAACATTCAACCTGCAAAGCTCCAACATCTGATGCTGGAAAGCCAAAATTTGATTTCTCTGGGAGCTTGCTTTTGAGATCCTGAGAACATAATAAATAATTGTATTCATTGTTATTAATATTATAATTTTAATAATATTATAATGATAATAATAATAATATAATAATTATCAATAACAATAATAACAAAAAATAAGAAAAATCACATCAAAATAGGGGCGGCAATGGAATAGGGTGGGTTTTTCCCTCCACACAATCCACCTTCCCAAACCCACCCATGAATCCATATCATTTCCTGACAGACAAATGATAAAATTGATGCCTAATCTTGTCCCCTTTTGTATCATCTCTTTTTTTTCTTTAAATAAATATATCAAGCACATTTTAGATTGAATCATACAGAAAAAATGAAAGTAAAAAACTTAATAAGATAATAAGAAATTTAAGGACATATTGTTACTACAAAGATGTAAGCTTAACTTTACAGTTTAACTAATACTACAATTTTATTATCAAAGCACGCGGGATCAAGTCCATGGCAGGCATCTGATCACAGTCAATATAGTGATGGGACAAGTACAAACAGGTATGGATTTTTTGCCATGTCTACACCCATGGGAGAGTACGATGGAGGAGTTAGAGAAAAATATTATTTTAGGAACTATTCCTACAATTTCAAGATAGAGAAGATAATACCAAGGAATGTGCAGGCAACGTCACCTGAGTTTTATCTTTATGCGGTATATCTACTAGATTATTTTGAACATCTCCATCACCAACGTCCTCATGATGAGACACATCTCTGGCATTCAAATCAAGATTTGAAGAAGTGCTTGAGTGCAGAACAGAAGCAGCTAAACCTTCAGCAACAGCTTGAAGTTGTCGGTCTTCTGATGAGACTTCAATAAAGAATCCAAAACAAAATGACTATGTGTCAAAAGCTTAAAATTATATATGATAAATAAATATAAATGATTTAACGTGTTAATAAATTTACATACCCTTGGCAGATCGAGCTTCATCCAAATTTAAATTCTGTTTGAATGTCTGATAGAGGCCATTGTCTATTTGAGCTTCTAAATTTTGATCCCCGCTGATGCCAGGATTCTCACCAAGTTTATCCTTATTAGAATAGGTTTCTTTCTTCGATGGAACTTTGTTAGGTTTTGGTGGTGGAAAGTAGGAACTGTGTATATTCCACAGATCCTGATTGCTAAAAAGTGAGTTTGAAGAATCCTGCACATCTCCAATCCTAACAGATGAAGAAATTGAAGATAAAACTGCATCAT